CACCCACTGTAAAAAAAAAAAAAAAATAAAACCATATAATCGGTTTCTTATCCTAATAAAAGACTAATATTTCCTGTTGTTATAATTATCATCATTTTTTTTTTTCTTTTCAATCTATAGTAAAAATTAATTTTTATTTCAAATAAAGTTATGAAATCTATAAAGTTTATTTATAATTATTTATTTTGAACATTCAAATATATATCAAATATATCGAAGAAAAAAGAAAAGCAAATAATTTTTTGATTATAAATTACATATTTATTAATATTTATAATAGTTTGTATATTACATATGTATATATGTATATAACTTGACCAGCAAGTAATAATTACAAATGGTTTCCGTCAATTAGGATATAATATTTAAATAACTTACTTATTTTTTTAAACATATCTTACACAAATTTTTTACATCATTGCATCACAGATTTAGATTTGAATTGAAATCTGTACTATGTACACACATAATGGAAATATTACATTAAATTTATATAAGAGTCAACAACAATAACAACAGAGAATGCATATGGAAGAAATTATTTCTATGAATAAACAATTGAAAATATAACAAATATATTTGTGCTGGAACAATATTAAAATATTAAAATATAAATAATATAAATCTCTTGAATTAATTTGCGTTGACGACGACAAATATATATATATATTATTGTAATTTTTACAAAATATAAAACTATTTTACAATAAATGTTTGGCAAGACTTCATTAAAATTTAAAAAAAATCGAATATTAGTTTTAATTTTTTCATAATCTAAGCTTAATGTCTCTCTGCATTGCCATCTGCATTGGAATAATGATTGATATAAAATAGAACTGTAGCACGCAGATATACCATATTTAAATAAGATCAACGATTTGATGACTCAAAATATAAAATTGTAATATAATCTTTGGCATATTGTTCTTACATTTAATGTAATACTTTGATTATTTAATTTATTAATCATCCTCAAAATCATCACTGTTCTCATCCTCTAATATGATAGTATTTTGCTTTTCTGTAAATAATGTATCTTGACTCAAGGCTGGAACTTGTCGAGAAAATTCGCTAGTTGCCCATAAAAATAAATCCAATGTTTGTTCTGTACATTCGGCTATAAATCTGACAAATGGCCTAACGTCACCACTATTAGCAATTTGCAAATGTTCATAATATTTATGACGATGTTGTTTCTGTATAATGACTGGAGGGTATCCAGCTTGCATAAGTATCATATTCATTAATAATCGAGATGTTCTACCATTACCATCAGAAAACGGATGTATATGCACTAATTTATAATGGGCAAGAGCTGCATATCTGGACAAGATGTTTATTATATGTATTATTTGAATAAGTTGTTTTCATCTAAATAAATGAATGAATTTATTTGTTAAGATTAAGATTAGTTTACCTCACTGGGTGCATTCTGATGGCTCTCTCACTGTTTAGCCACAAAGCAAATTCTTCCATAAGGTAATGAATATCGTCAGGACCTGGAGGTATGTGTCCACCTACATAAACTTGAGTACGTCGAAATTGTCCACATTCGACAGGATCTACGTGTCCTAAAACTCGTCTGTGTATTTCTAATATATCTTTTATTGAGATTGATCCTACTCTGAAATAAGACAAATATTTCAATAAGATATAGTATAGCATATAAATGTACAAGTTCGAATGATTACAAGACAAATCGTTTCCCTCAGTTGCAGAGCATTGTATGATTAAAAATATAAAAAAACAAAAAAACAAAAAAACAATGAATCACTCATTTATAAGACAATACGAGGTTAGCTTAAGTGAGATTATATTACAATGCTCACGTTTGGAACGTTTGATCACTTTCAGTACCGCAGCAAGCTGTATTATAAGCGTTCCAGTCTGGAGCATTCAATCTAAGCAAAAGCATTAGATATAGCATTTAGCCGTAATCTCAAAGAATTTATTATAATGATCAAATTATATGCAAATATTTATTTGTAATAAATGAAGAAATAATTACTTGTAAGGAGAGGGTGGGGGGGGGTGTGTTTCATGCACTATAAAAGTGTCTTCAAACCGAAACCATAAGATAAATAATAAATGTTAAGAAGTATTTTAAAATTAATCCGGAGAGTTGAAATTAGATGGAAATATAAATCAAAGCAATCATTAGAAAATTATTATCATGTACATTACACAATAATGTCTGACTTTGAAGTTAATTTTGTAATGATAATATAAAAAAAAACTTACTTATTAACTAATGTAGCATTGATATATTTCATGGCAGCATCCAATCCTAATATTTCATTGTGTTCATCAATACTTTTTCCAGCAACAGCAATCCTAGTTTCGACAATGGCTCTTGTTTGGGCCAAATTCATCGTATTCCCTTCTATGCCCACGGTATGATAAATATGTTGAAAATAAGCTTCTTTTTTAGCTCGTATTAATGCAGCATTGTTATCTGGTATGGCAGATAACGTATTTCTCTTTTGATCAATACGTCTTAAAAATCTTCTATCTAATTCTTCAACAACGCGTGCAGTTCTTTGGCTATTGATTAAGGCACTTTTATGATTTGGTTGATAACTTAAGGCACGTACATAAAACTCATTGGCTTTAATAACATCATTTTGCATTTGTTCCAAGAACTCTCCATAATGATTTAGAACATCGGGATGATGCGGTGCTAATACTACAGCATGTTGGAATAACTTGACAGCTTTTTTCTGTTTTCCAGAAAGTTTCATCTCTAATGCTAAATGTAATGATGATAGTGCTTCAGCCGTAGATGCAGCTGTTCTTTCTATCTCAGAATTTTTCATTTCAGATGACTGCAATATGATGCTCATTGCACCTTCATCGTAAACATTTAAAATACCCTCCGGAGGCAATGGCGAAAATACATGATGAAACTCCTGTTCTACAAAAAAATAACAGAATGAAAATCAATTTGTAATGAATAACTTATATTGACAAATGTTACAATCACACCTGTATAATCTATTGACAGTCCACATATATACTGCGTCAACAATGTACCAATAACGGCGACTGCAATCCCTGACACAAAGACAAGGAACACAATTAACCTATTCGGTGTCATAGCGTCTACATTTTTGTTAACACTCTTCACGTAAGCGGACTTTGAACAAAAGATATAATTCTCTGTGATGCTAGATGGTGGCATCTTTTATTAAAACAATAATACAGCGAAAGCTTGATATTTTTATCAAATTCTATCATCCTTTTCCTTAGGAGATTTACCGTACAACAAGAATGACAACTGACTAGAATCGACTTTCTGATAACATGTGGTCGATTTCTATTGGTTAACTCGATTCGCATGAAAGTTACATTTTTTTTCCCACTTTAAATATAACTATATACATATATGAGGGGATTATTTATATTTACTTAAGTAGATCTTAAGAAAAAAAAAAAAAAAGAAAAACATAAATTTTTTTTAATATATAATTCTTGGATATTAAACGAGCGTTGATTATTATTACAAGAATTCAACAACACATAACGAAATATTGAAAATTCAAATTTGTAGATCGCGCGCGCGCATTATAATCGAAAAATAAAATATATTTTATATAAATATTTTTCATAAATTCTATTCATTGAACATTTCATTATTTAAAGAGATAGATAAGAGATTATTAATTTAGTAATATGTCAGAAATATAATAGTAAAGTGTATATATATATTTGAATTGAATTTAAAAATATATCGATAGAGGTTAAAGTAGCAATCGAATTGAACGCAACTAACTTCGTGACGGGCCAAATTGGAGCCCTTGATTAAGAACCTTCAACAGTTTTAAACTTCGTCTAAGATAAGTATTTATGATTTTCAGTTATAACGTTAAACGGCTTTTCTAACGACTTTAAAGAAATATTATGAAAGCTATGTCTCATCATTACGTGGTGACGGCACATAAACCTACGGCTGTAAGTGCTTGTGTAACTGGTAAGTAATTTAATTTCCTTGAAATAATAGTTAACGTGAATTGTACAATTTTTCATTTCTATTTCTTTTCTCAAAGGTAACTTTACCTCGAGTGATGATCTCAATGTAATATTAGCAAAAAATGTACGATTAGAAATCTATTTGGTCACTCCAGAAGGGTTGAGACCCTTGAAGGAGGTTGGAATTTATGGAAAAATTGCTGTTATCAAATTCTTCAGACCACCGGTAAGTAAGGTTATCTCAATTGTTCAATGTTGATTGCTTCATAGGGATACTTTTATTCTTGGCTTTTGTTGTTCCTTTTTGTTCCTAATTATATTTTCTTCTCTCTCTCTCTCTATATATATATATATATAAATTGGCATTCGTGTACATAAATATGTAATTGTAAATGAAGATTTTGTCTATTTCTATAGTACGAAAAGAAAGATTTATTATTTCTTCTAACAACACGATACAATGCTATGATTTTGGAATGCATCGGAGAGGGAGAAGATATTGAAATCAGAACCAGAGCTCATGGCAATGTAGCTGATCGTATTGGAAAAGCTTCAGAAACTGGTATCAAAGCTATTATTGATCCTAAAGCACGTGTAATAGGACTGAGGTTATACGATGGTCTTTTTAAAATAATTCCTTTGGATAAACATAATCCAGAATTAAAAGCATCGTCGATTCGTATGGATGAGCAACAAGTACAAGATGTTAATTTTTTGCACGGATGCGCTAATCCTACATTAATTTTAATTCATCAAGATGTCAATGGAAGGCATGTGAAAACACATGAAATCTCCTTGAGAGATAAAGAGTTTGTTAAAATACCATGGAAACAAGATAATGTGGAGCGCGAAGCAATTATGATTATTCCCGTGCCTTCTCCAATTTGTGGTGCAATTATAATAGGGCAAGAAAGTATCGTATATCATGATGGGGCTACTTATGTAGCTGTCGTACCTCCAGTCATTAAACATAGTACTATAACATGCTATGCCAAAGTAGACAATCAAGGTTATAGGTATTTATTAGGAGATCTAGCTGGACATTTGTTCATGTTATTTTTAGAACACGAAAAGAAACCCGATGGCACACAAGTAGTAAAAGACTTAAAAGTAGAGCTCCTAGGTGAAATTAGCATTCCAGAATGTATAACTTATTTGGATAATGGTGTAATATTTATTGGCAGTCGTTTGGGTGATTCTCAATTGATTAGATTAATAACCAAGGCAGATGAAAATGGATCTTATTGTGTACCAATGGAAACATTTACAAATTTAGCACCAATAGTTGATATGGCTATTGTTGATCTTGAAAGACAAGGACAGGGTCAAATGGTTACTTGTTCTGGTGCATTTAAAGAGGGCTCTCTTCGAATCATTAGAAATGGTATTGGCATTCAAGAGCATGCAAGTATCGATTTGCCAGGCATTAAAGGCATGTGGGCTCTTAAAGTTAATGGTAGTAACTTTGATAATACATTAGTACTCTCTTTTGTTGGCCAGACAAGAATATTAACTTTGAATGGCGAAGAGGTTGAAGAAACTGATATGCCAGGCTTCGTTGCAGACGAACAAACCTTTCATACTGGAAATGTGACTAATGATTTATTTATCCAAATAACACCAAGTTCTGCAAGATTGATTTCGAATGAAAGTAAATCTGTAATATCTCAATGGCAACCTGAAAATAAAAGAACCATTAGCGTAGTTGCCTGTAATGGTACTCAAGTATTATGCGCTACTGGTAATGATTTATTTTATATGGAAATCATAGATGGTAAAATAATTCCAAAAGGATTTGCTACATTGCAGCACGAGGTAGCATGTTTGGATATTTCTCCATTGGATAAAAGCACCGAAGCACGTATAGTTGCAGTAGGCTTATGGACAGACATTTCTGTTAGAATTTTAACTTTACCCGCATTGGATGAAATAAATAAAGAATTATTAGGCGGTGAAATCATACCAAGATCAATTTTAATGACCTGTTTTGAAGGTAATACATATCTTTTGTGTGCACTTGGAGATGGTAGTATGTATTATTTTACTCTGCATAAACAAACTGGAGTTCTCTCGGATAAAAAAAAAGTTACATTAGGTACACAACCAACGGTACTAAGAACTTTTAGATCCTTATCTACGACCAATGTTTTTGCTTGTTCTGATAGGCCAACAGTCATATATTCTTCTAATCATAAGCTTGTATTTAGCAACGTTAACTTGAAAGAGGTCAATCATATGTGTTCATTGAACGCAGAATCATATCCAGACAGCTTGGCATTGGCAACAGATAGTACTGTCACTATAGGAACAATTGATGAAATTCAAAAATTACATATACGAACTGTTCCTCTTGGAGAATCACCCAGGCGAATTGCATATCAAGAAAGTTCGGAAACTTTTGGCGTTATATCGATGCGAGTAGATGTACAAGAAAGTAGTGGAGTCAGTATTGTTAGACACTCTGCGTCTACTCAAGCAGCTTCAACATCCAGCAGCAGTCATGTAGCACCTCATAATAAACCAACAGGACATGCAGCTAATGAGATTGGACAAGAAATTGAAGTACATAATCTTCTTATTATAGATCAACACACATTTGAAGTTCTTCATGCACACACTTTAATGCCTACTGAATATGCTTTGTCATTAATATCTACAAAATTAGGCGAAGATCCAACCTCTTATTATGTAGTAGGAACTGCATTAATAAATCCCGATGAAACTGAACCAAGAATGGGCAGAATATTAATGTATCATTGGGGTGACGGAAAACTTACTCAAGTAGCAGAAAAAGAAATCAAAGGATCATGTTATTCATTAGTAGAATTTAATGGAAAACTTCTTGCAAGTATTAATAGTACAGTTCGTCTATTTGAATGGACTGCTGAGAAGGAACTCAGGCTAGAATGTAGTCATTTCAATCATATTATAGCATTATATCTTAAAACCAAAGGCGACTTTGTCTTAGTTGGAGATCTTATGAGATCTTTAACGCTTCTCCAATACAAAACTATGGAAGGTAGTTTTGAAGAAATAGCCAGAGATTACAATCCTAATTGGATGACAAGTATTGAAATTTTAGATGATGATACTTTCTTGGGAGCTGAAAATTGCTTTAATCTCTTCGTTTGTCAAAAAGATAGGTAAGATGTCAAATACCAATTACTCATATATATGTATATATAAGAAATATCATATTACGAATACATACTTACAGTGCAGCTACTTCTGAGGATGAAAGACAACAAATGCAAGAAGTTGGACAATTTCATTTAGGTGATATGGTCAATATTTTCCGCCACGGTTCTTTGGTAATGCAAAATTTAGGAGAATCGAGTACACCTACACAAGGTTGTGTACTATTTGGAACAGTGAGCGGTGCTATTGGTTTAGTTACTCAAATTCCATTTGCATTTTATGAGTTTCTTCATAGCTTGGAAGAAAGATTAACATGTGTGATCAAAAGTGTCGGCAAAATTGAACATAATTTCTGGAGGAGCTTTAATACTGACTTAAAGGTTGAACAATGTGAGGGCTTTATAGATGGTGATTTAATCGAAAGTTTTCTTGATTTATCACACGACAAAATGGCTGAGGTTGCAATGGGCCTTATGGTAAGCCCACGTACTTTTATCTTTCATACAATAATATAAACATTGTTTTGTGTATATTTTCAAATATATTTATATTCCTGTTCAGATTGATGATGGTAGCGGCATGAAGAAAGAAGCAACGGTTGATGATCTCGTCAAAATTGTTGAAGATTTAACGAGAATACATTGAACTTGTGTTTGACTGATTTATGCAGTCACCCGCATCTAAAACGTATATATGTGTTAATACAAAAAAAGGTCAAAAAGGTCAAAAAGGTAAAAAAGGTAAAACAGGAAAATTTAAAAAGAATTAAATGTAAATACAGTTTCATCTATGATATACTAAAAGATAGAATTAATTAAATACTATTTTTATTTTTATTTTCATTATCATATTCATAAAATTGTAGAAAAAGTATTAGAATTGATGAACAAGCTATCTTTTTATATAGAAAATATTTGGAAAATTAACAACTTTCGCAGCTATAATAAATGTTGGCATTTTTCATTAATGCTACATATTTTTGCAAGCACTGAATGGTATTGATAGATTCCTACGAATTGAGTAAATATTATATTTTTCCTTCTCTGTTATTCTTATTATAATATACATTATCTTCACACAATTATAAATTAATATATGAAAACAAAATATATGAGATTTTTTTTTAAATTCAATTTTACTGCAGCTTTATCATTTATTCGACTCATCCATCATTTAACATCGTTTTAATAATCATTACTGTCTACTACGTTAATACAGTAACAGAGTTTTCAACTGTATAAATATTACACTGTTACTATTTGTGTTTCATTATAATAAAATGATTGTTTTAACCATTTCATACAAATATAGCAATAAATTTACATATTTGTAAAATTTAGTGTAAATAAAGAGAGTCATCAATTTGGAGATATAATTTATCTATTGACACTTTTTACAGTTTTTAAAGTATATGGGTCAAATAACCAATTACGTAAGTCTTCAATACCTTGTCCTGTTATTCCACTAGTTTCAATTACAATTATCTCTTGAGTTATTTCTTTCTTCAAACGTGCAAATTGAAGCATAAGAAGAGCTTCATTTCTCATTTGTCTGTAAGAGAGATCCATTTTGTTTAAAATAAGTGCAATTTTTATATGTTTTAATCTTGGTTCGACTAATGCCGAATACAATAATACACCGGCTGCACTTATCTGGCAAAGATTGCTAGTATCCACGACAAAAATTAATTTATAAACCTAATAATAAAAAGTATTATGTGTGTTACAATGTACGTTACAAATCATTGGTCTGGTAGCCAATATGGTGATGGCAGGGAATCATTCCATTAACTGTTACCTTGTCGAAGTAATATTTCCAAATTGGTGCCATATTACCACCAATCTCTCGAACAATTATATCAAATTCACCAGTATTATTTTTAATTGTAAATAAATTGATACCATTAGTTGGTACTGTATGGGTGGCATTGTCTATTTCGTCGCCTTGAAGACGTTTCAGCAACAGTGTTTTACCAGATTTCAAAGCACCAAGACACAAACACATGTCTTTTTACTATTTCTATATTTCTTCTAAATAATGAAAATTCCTTATGATAACTTTATAAGACTTCAATTGATTTGAAAAGAATATATATATGTATATAGAAATATTGATCTAACACAATACGAGTTCTTGGAGATAATTGCAGCAAAAAGCTATGAATATTATCAATATTCGTTTTCTATACAGTGATATTTTATTATATTTCATGAGTTTTAACGCAATTGTATACATGAATATACTCAAACAATATTTTTTATTACAACATATATTATAACAAATATTTAATACATAGTGAACATAAAGAAAATGTATATTTGAAAATTGATCTTATAAGTACAATTTGTTCTATTGTGTAAAGAGTAGTGCATCGACATAAAACACATATTAGCATATCATAATATGCATAGTAATATTTCAATAAATTAGTAATAAAATATATAGAACAAATGCTTATAAAAGTGTACAGTAGAGCATATTATTTTCTTTTTTATCATAGTTTAAAACCATGTTGCATACAGAAATACGAAAAGCTCTTTAATTGCTAACTATTTTTAACAAATTTTTTTTAGTAACGTCAGAATTATGATTTATATATATATATATACAATTCATGAATAATCAGTGAAATAAAAATTGCTTTCTGTGAACATTAATATTTGAATCCAATGTTACACAATACTTAATATATAAAAGATATTGATTATAGTAGCAATTACATGTTAGGAATTATTCAAATTTATTTTCTCAAAATATGTTATAACTCAAAACATAATTATTTATAAAATACTATTTAATCCTTAAAATAAAGTCTAAACAAAGTAAAATGATCTTTTACAAATATATCTAATATATAAAATAGACATTCATGCATATTTCTGTGTAAAAATCATCTAAAGCATAATTTGTGTAATTTTGAAGAAGTATTCATATGTAAAAATAAAATAATACAAAAAAGATTATCTCATTTTGAGAAAACAAAAATTTTCTAATGTGCACAAGGCACTTGAGGTTTATTTTACATATCATATTAATTTATAGTGATTTAATTAATTATTATTACATCAATATCAGCAATCATGGCATATCAATATATGACAATTAAATATAAGAATTACTTCTTTTCTTTATATTTTTAAAGAATAGAGATTTGTTTGTTTAATTTCTTCTATTGACGACTAATCCTTATATTTATAATAATAATTTAATTTCTGTACAAATTTACTTATAAATATAAATATGTGCAGTCAGTGTTGTGTACACTACTATCTTTCTACGAATATAAAGGCCATAGCCAAGTAAGATTATTGAAATTGTCTGCAACGAGTAGTTGTTGAATGTAGTATCCTTACTAAAAGAAAATATTTACCTGACAAGTTTTTAGTTTTGGGTATGCCCTTTATAATTTCAATTAAACATATATATATATATAACATGCGTATGCAATTGAACTTATATCAGGTATACTGTACATTGCCTTCAAAGAAGTAAATTATAGACCAATACTATCCTCAACATGAGACTAGATTTATGTGCAATTTATACTTGTTATGACATTTCACGTAATACCACTTGTAATTGCTTCGGTATCTGCCACATTTGCAGCCGTTTGTCTTTACTACCGGCTATAATCTATAATAAATTTATTCTATCATCATATCTTATATTCTATCTATTTATATGTCAAATTATTAATATTATTTGTAAACTTTGTCAATACCTTATTGTCGACAACTTCCATACTTAGTAACATATTTCCTGGTCCAGGTATACTACAAGCTAGTTTATGATCCTATAAAAAGAAATAATTTAACAATTTATAGAGAAAATATTTGAAGTATTTAAATAGTTGAAACAATTATTATTACCTGAATATTAAAAACATAAATGTTTCCATCATAACAGCCAGCAAATAAAAGCTTATGATAGAGTCGCATACAAACGATACCTACACCTGCATCATATCGTGCTCTTTGTTCTCCATTCTATAAAAAAAATATATAATATAATAATTGGACACTTGTAATAGTGTATTATATTGTGTACAATTACAAATTCTATATACTAACGGTGAAATCAAAAACAAGTATCGAGGTACTACTTGTACCGCAATAAATCAAATTGTTATTTTGCATTAAACTATAGACTGTATGATTTTTTTCTCCACAAATTGTCCGAAGAAACAATCCATTCTGTGCGTCGCGTATTGTTATTGGTTGATTACGCGATGCTACAATGAGAACTTTTCGTGGACCTTCATTTGTTGCTTTCAAAGCTAGTACTGATTTATCAGAAAATTGTATGCTATCACCTTTTATAGCACCAAACTATAATACCAAAAAATATATCAATGTTATAAACTAAACTGAAATTAAATTACATTCCAAAACTAACAAACCTTTATATGAAAACGAGAAACATGTCCTGATTTAGTACCAATAAAAATTATACCCCAAGCTTGATCCATACACTGAACAGGACTTCCAACATTTGCAATATTATTAAGTTGCGTGCCAGTCTAAAGTAAAACAAACAATAAGATATAATATAACAACTGAAAAATGATTGATCTTTTTTTACTGTATTTACCTTAACATTGTAACAACGTAAGGTTCCATCCAAAGATCCTGTATATACCCAATTATTTGTATAATCAAGCTTACTTATTTCGTGGATGTACATACACGTAACTGCTGATCTATGACCTTTATAAATATTCAATATTTCATTAGATTTTTGACTGTATCTATATATTGAACCATCTTCGCTGGCTGCCAGAAATGTATCACCAAATACCTCAAACAAATAATATTATTGTATTATTAATTCACACACAAATTGTTGTTATATTATTATTATTATTATTATTATTATTATTATTATATAATTTGTATGCGTTTACCTTAATATCTAATATAGGCCCTTTATGAGCTATATATTGTGTTCTCAATGGCTGTTCAGTTTTTGTTATTTCGTCTAATAATGGTATTTCCTCATCATTATGTAAATCTACTATACAATGACGACTATCTTTTTTTCTTTCTTCTACAATTGTAATATCGAGTTGTTCATTTTGATCTTCAATTTTCATCTTGACAATTGAAGGAACAGCTTTTATTGATGTTGCTGATGTGCCTTTGTTATTAGATTCCAAGGATAAATGTTTATCATCAAGTAATGGATTTACTTTAGGATAACATTTGAATTCTTTTTTATGATCCAAAACATTGCATGTTTTTATTACTTCATTTTGACATAAAATCGTCGAAGTTTCTTCTTGCACATTGCTAGATATATTTGTTATTTTTCTTATATCTTTAGACTTATTTGTTTCTATAATCGAAGAATTAGTTTTAGATGATGTAGCAAAATGTGCTAAATTTATCGTATCTTCTATTGCAGCAGATTTGTAAGTAGGTATATGAGATTTAAATTTATCTCTAATGTCTTGATAAATATTTGATTTAAATATATCAACTAATCTTACTTTGCAATTCATCATTTCTGATTCGTTATGTATTTTTCTTTTAACTGCAATGTTTTTTATTTTAGGTGTTAATAATTGATAATCAACATCAGGTGAAAACCGTTCGATTACATTCTCTTTCAATATGAACGTCTGATATTTCATGGATGATTCATCTTCTACAGGTTTGGTATATTTTATATCCTTACTACTTTCTAACTTGTGAAACTTACGATTACGTTTTATATTCAAAAATGTATTCTCAAGTTCTTGATGTATTGAAGATATTCTTGAATCTGTTCCTTCATTTGAATTAGTATCATCATGTTTTAAATGCTTTATATTATCCTCGCTAGACTTTGAACTCTTATGTATTGAAGCATTTTTATTACTGACTTTACATTTGAATGTTTTATTATCTTGAATATTACTAATTTGAGGTATATTTGAAGTAATTTCATCTGTTTCGTATATGACTTTTGGTATCTTCATTTCTTTATCTTCTGTTTTTTGTTTAATAGTTTCTTCTGTTTTACTATTATATTTAAGTTTTTCAAATGTTAAGTTATTAACAGTGGTATTCTGATTTACTAAACAATCTTCTTTCTCATCATCAGCAGTAGCAACAGCAGCAGCAGCAACAGCAGCAGCAACAGCAGATCCTTTGAAACTCTTTTCTATAACTTCTATAGAATTGTTTCTGCTTTCAGGTATTACAATTTTTTGCAATGTATGATTACTCTGATCCTTATTGAATAATTTTTCTTTTGTAACATTTAATTGATTAGCATCTGTAAGAAGAGGTATATTAAAATGACTAGTAGTGAAGGTTTCATCGATCAAAGAAGTTTTCTGTTGACTAATATCACCATCAATTGACATATTTTTTATATCCAAATTCCCGTCTTGATTATTACAAGGAGAAACTGTACTAGATTGTACTTCAATGTCTTTAATTGCATTCTTTTCTTCTTCTGTTTTACTTATTTCTATTTGTCTTTGTTGAATTACATTCTCATCTGTAATATTCGATGAATGTTTAATAGAATTGTTCTTTTGATCATAACTTAATGAAGAGCAAGTAGGTTCCTTTTCATTGGAATTCTGTAAAGATTTTGCCAAGTATTTGGTACCTTCATTTTGCCTTATTTTATTTGACGATGTGTTTAAATTTTCATTCACTTTTTCTTCATTGTTTTCCTCATATAAGTCTTTTACTCTATCCTCTGCAACGGCATTTATTACCTCTATTGCATGTTCCCAAATCTTTTCGGATTGAAATGAATTTTCGCAGTTATCAATAGCTGTTGAATTTTCTTTCATGTCATCCAATGAATAAAGTAGATCTCGTTTTTGTTGCAGTTTTTTAATATACAATGCATTCAAAGGAATGTCTTCTTCTTCGGGTGTTAAATAATTGACACTTTTCAAGAACTTATGTAGTTCTTTCTTTTTCTTTTTACGTGCATTTGCTTTTAATTTTCGATGTTCTGCCATTTCTCGTTTATATGTTTCCTCTAAAAGAGCAAGACCAATGTTATGTTTCTTCTCTTCCATATTTTCAGATAATTGTGCAAAAGATCCCCAAGTACTATCATCAGAATATATTAAGGATGCTTGCGTTGAATTATTATTTTTAGGTTCTACTTGCTGATTTTCTTTATATGATTTTGTCATACTAATCATCGGTGATGTACTATTTCTACCACTACTCGAGGTTTCTCTTATAGAATTACATGTATCCAGACTTTCAGTCGATTCATCAACTTGATTTTCAGATAGTACTTTATCATTTTCATCTTTAGATATTAACGGTAACGACGATTGCGAACTTCCACTGCATTCTGATAATAATCTATCTTTAGAATTATCAGATGAAATGTTTCTTGTGCAATTGATATTTTCTTCTGTTCTTCTTAAAGATTTGTCTTCTTTATTCTCATTAATATTAGTAATTATTGGCTCTTCTATTTCATCTTGAATCATTTTAGACACAGAGCTTAGCTCTGTATTTTCCATTGTATGCGATGTTAAAGTAGATGACGTCTGAAGTTTTATTAATGTTTTGTCTCTATTCGTTTCTATCCCTAAATTGTTAGTAGTTAATGCAAACTTATTTAATACTAAAGAATCGTTTTCTAACATTTGATATAAAGTCATTTTTTCTGTCATTAATTTATGAATTTCCACATCTATCTCTATCATTCTAGCCATTATTTCTTCTTTTATATTTTTGTTTGTAACATGTAAAGTATTATTACTCGTTTGAGCTTGCTTTTGTGTATCTACTATGTCATCTACCTCATCAATTTTATTTGTCTCAACATAGTATTGTATTGTATCTGTTATCGGTCTATTTGTTTCTTTCATTCTTTCTGATTGAACGACAGGATTATATACTTTTTTACTATCTATTAATTCTTTAATTAAACTAGTATGACTAGATGGAATCAAAGTTTCATCCTGTATTGTTTTTCCTTTATTCAAAACAGTTTGAGATGATGATAATAATACATTTACATCTTGTGAAGATTTATCTTGCTCCAAATTGACAATTGCATTATCAATATTTTCTTTCTGAGATATCTGATCATCACTTATCAAATGATCTGTGTTCTGATTGTCATGTTCTGTTAAATTAGATTTTTTCAATTTCATAGCTTCTTTGACAGAATCCATAATTGCAGTAATATTTGTTGTTTCTTTTAAAGAAGCTTTTGTTGGAAATGTTAACTTTTTTGGTGTATCGTGTATGGACGATTTCCGAAGTCTTTCCGTAGACAAAAGTGAATTATAATTCAAATTAGTAAAAATATCATTATTTAAGTATGAATTATTGTCATTTGTGTTTCCTTTTCTACCCGAGTTAATATTAATAACAAAATCTCCAATATTATCCTGGTTTGGCATATCAGCCAAGTTATTATTTCCAATTGTGTTGCTATTAATTAGCGAAGCTAAAGATGATTCAGTGTCAGTATTAATTATATTATTCAAAGTTTCATTTGATATATTACTGAATGAAGAAGAATCTATTGTATTATTTATATCTGATGTAGGTAGAAAATCTAAAATGTCTTTTTCACCTGATGGTTGTTTTTCTTTAACTAAAGAATCTTTTACAATATCAATATCTGGCTTTTCCATTACTGCATTATCTTCACATTCATATAATTCGAGAAATATTTCATCTCGCTCATTGTCAGTATTTTTTTCAACATTTATTGTTGGCATAGATTCGTTATTTTCCACCGAGTATTCAGAGTGTTGAAAACTATTTGTATTTATCTCATTATTTTTAGAATTTTCAGCATATTTATTATCTGCATATCTTTTACTTGTAGTACTTACTGCACTATCGTTTATCCTGAAATCTTTTCTATCAGATGATTCTCCTGTCTCCTCTTTATTCAATTGTTGAACTGTCTTTAAAGAATCTTTGAGACTACTTTCAAAAGAAATATTATTATATGAAGTATCTTCATAACTTATATTATGCAGATGAAATTTATCATTAGAAGATGATTGCAATTCTTTTGCAATGTGTTCTTCATCTTTTATAGCAATATCTTTTCTAGGAATAACTGTATTTTGTGTCTCTAAATGCAATATGTTTTGATAGCTATTGGATTCAACAAATCCCTTAAATGGACTACTAGTACTTTCAGGTGAATTTAATTTACTTTTTATTGAATTGCTATTAATTTCTTCATCAATGTTTGAAGTAGAATTTATTATATTCTTTCCAATATTAAGATTGTTTTGATTTTCTAATAAATTTTCATTAATCTGACTCACTATTACAGTGTCTCCTTCTAGAATTCTACCTTGTTTACTTTGAGGAATTACATTTATATTAGTAATACTTGTGTTATTATTTGATACTTTCATATCCTTGTATGATTCACCTTGTTCAAGAGATTTATTCAATTGAAAATCAACAGAAGATTCTATACATTTGGACACTTTTTCTAAATTTGTTATATTTTCATGAAATGTTGGTAAATCCCAAGGTTCTATGTTTTCTTGGGCCTGCTTCTTACTTTCATTTTTTGGCAAATTAATCTCTTCGGTATTTATAAAAGGACATATTTTTGATTCCACAGATATTTCGTTGGAAGAAGATATGGCTCTTCTTTCGTCAGTGTTTTTACTTTGGATGTTATTTGTTATTTCTGATGTTTCTATATATTTTTCCTTATCCGTTGATTTAGCATTATTAAAATCATTATTAATGGTCTCATTATTTTCACTTGTCGACGGTATAATACAATTAACAGAAATTTCCTCATTTTTAATAGAAACTTTCTCTATTGGACATTCTGCATTTGTTGCTGCTAATAATAAATGATCAGTAATAAATTGTACATTTTCGTGTTTACCACTGGTAACATCCACCTCCTCATTATTTTCAACTTCATTTTTGAAAGATTTCAAAACATCAGAAGTATTATTTATTTTGTCATCATTAACACTTGATATTTCTTTCGTTTCTTTTATTTTCTTCTTTACATCAGTTTTCTTTTTATTCTTCTCTAGTTTTTCCTTTTTCAATTTTAATTCCCTACTTCCTTCTGATTTAATATTTTTAAATTTATTACAATCTCTTGATATCTTATTCGTTTGTGTAATAGAATTTGTATCTTTCAAATTTGCATTAGAAGACATAGTTTTTGGTGAAACGTCAATATCTGGTTTCTGTGTTTCCTCTATTATTGACTTTGAGAAGCTATCATTAAACGTGTCATTATTTATTGCATGTTTATTACTTGTTACTGCTTTTTCCTCATTTATTTTTTCCTCATTGTTCATATTTCGTTGTAATTTACGTGCTTTGTATGCCTTTATATCTATCTTTTTAGATGTTACTTTATTATCTATTAACTTTTCTCTATTTGATTCTTGAACTGTAGGCTCAACTGTAGGCTCAACTGTAGGCTGAACTGTAGGAATGCTAGGACTGTAGGATAATGCTTCTTTTTCTGCATGAAACATTTGTTCCTTACCACTACTTTGTTCCTTTACAATGGATGATAATGTATTAGTTAAATTCTTCGTTGTATTATCATTATTATGAAGAACAGTGTGCTGCTCTGTTTCTGAAACATTTGTTAATGTATTATTATTTGGACACTCCAAATCTTCTTCATTTCTTTTTGATGTATTTTCATCTTTATGGCATTTCTTTAAAATGATTTTTTGTTTGTCTTCATTATTCAACGCAGGTGTTTTATTTTGTTCATGACATTTCGCATTGGAGACTATTTTAGCCGTATTTTTCATAAATTCCGTTTCTTCTACAGATTTTGATGTTTCTGCCATTAATTGTAATTGCGGTTTTAATTGTATTATTGTTGGGACCAGTGTTATTTTATTACTCTCTTTTATTGTACATTTGTCTGCATTTTCCAACATTATTTTTTTATTATCCACGCTTTTATCCACGCTTTTATCAACGCTTTTATCCACGGTTTTTACTGTTTCCTGCTTTTTAGAACACGTATTATTTATATTATGTATATTAGATTCGAAATCTTCTTCTATGGCAACATCGAATTCTTCTTTAACGTTAGTTTCTTTCTTAATTTCCATTTCTGTAAGTAAGTTAGGTGTACAAGGTTGATTGTTATCAGAATTAGAACTACTTTCAGATATTTTCTTTTTTCTTTTTTTTCTCTCTTCCTCATATTTGAATTTTGTCTCTTTCCTTCTTTTATCCTTCTTATGATATTTTCTTTTTCTATCTTCCGCATTCCATTTACGATGAATTTCAGCTGTTACTTCATCTCTTATTGTTTCATTCAATGATTTATTTTTAGCTATCTTTTCTTTTTCTTTAATTACCTTAAGAAGTTTGGCAACATCCGATGGTGTTCTATCTTCGCTACTTGTACTATTAGTATCGTTAGTCTCACTTGAACTTGAACTTGAACTTGAACTTGAACTGCTCGCATTATAATCATTTTCTACATTATCCTTTTTCGATACTTTCTTGCTAAATGCACTTTTCCGATTGGAAAAACTTGTATTTGTTTTAAATGAGCGCGGAGATGAATAATTTTTACAATAGGAACTTCTACTATTATATTTTTTATTAGTTACATTTGTATTATCGCTATATCTACTTGTGTGTGTTTTGGAAAAATTACATGCTGAAGAACTTTTCATCTTTTTCCCATGTTTAGCCTCCCATTCTTCCTTCGTAAGATTTCTAAAGGCATCTGGTTCATCTCTTTCTCTTCTAGTCCACCATCTATTATATCTTTTAGACTTAGATATATATGCATTTCCTGAATTACATTCATGTTGTTTGCTAGAATCCAAAATCTTTGCTTTGGAAGTAAATGATGTAGGATTTATTGATGTAAGTTGATCTGTGGGTATTGAGCTTTTTCCTATTTCATCGCATGTTTTATTTGTTCCTTTCATTGTAGACTTTGATTTTTCTTCCAAATTTATTGATTTTGATTCGCCTGCTGCTGATGCTTTTCTAGTAACAGTTCCAAGTATATGACCTACATCAGGCAGAACGCGCAACGGATGTATTTTTCTTTTCTCAATGTCTTTTCGTGTAATATCTTTCTCTGCTACGTGTATATTATTGATGTAATGATCAATTTCTAGATCATTATTTTCCAATGGTGTCTTTGAAAACATTTCATTAGAGTTTAATATTGTATTATTATTGGTTTTAGATGAAGAACTTGTAATTGAAGAAGCTATATTATCATCATTGCTCTTAATATTTGACTCTGCAATGATAGAAGATGAAACTATATTATCTTCGTCTTTTATTTCTTCTAAATGAATATTTTCTGAAATAATATTATTGTTTAGTATTTCTTCTTCATTAGAAGATACATGTGAATGATTATTTTGACATTTATCATTAGTATAATGAAGAACATTTTCATTTGATTCTAGAGGCATGACATCAAGTTGTAATACTTCACTTAAATGATGAATAAAGTCTGTAGGTAAATTAGTAATATCAACGATAGCCGCTGGATCTAGCATTGCATTTAATTGATCCATGAATTCTTGTCTATCATAACTTTTTATTTTTTCATCTTCAGTATTTCGCATCTCTAATGACAATAATGATTTTTTTTCTTTAACAAGATGTTCCATGGCAATATTAAACTTTCGAAGACTAGAATTATTGATCATGTTACGAATATCATTTTTACTCATTTTCAAAAAACGATTGATAATTCTATTTTTCCATGAAGATTCAGCCACAGGAGGAGATTCTACTTTCTTTCTTCTTTTTATAAAATCTTGAGCTCTTTGCATGATCAAATTATCAGAAGTTACAGAAATTCGAGACTCTGAATAAGACCTTTGTGATTCGTCAATAAGATTATTTATTGTATCAATGTCTTTTACTTCTATATTATGTTTCCAAGTTTTATCTTGATTACTTCTAATCATTTCATTAGCAGCACATTCCTCAAGCTTCTGATTAGAATATTCTTTTGCATATATTTGATCGGAATCATTTGGTGGAAATATACAAGAACTATATCGTTCTCTCTCGCCATCTTCAATGCTCTGATGCTGTTTTCCTTGCTTATTTATTTTCTTTAATTTGGGATTTAAATGAAACATTACTTTTGGTCGAGTCTCTTTATCTGCAAAAGTACTTTCTTCAACATTATCATTTTCATTTAATGTTTGTTTTTCATGTTCAAAGTTAGATGATCCGTGAGATTCGGTTATTCTGAAATTCGATTCTTGTTCCTTTTCCTTATTAATATTTTCATGTATTTGTGTAAAAGATGGCAATACATCATTAATATCTTCTTGTTGTTTTACAGATGTATCAATATTTACTTTATCATCTGTTATATTAGCTTGTTTTGCAAACTGTATTGCTGCCTCTTGTATCTCTTGAAATTCATCCTTCATTTGATTATCTGAATTGGAAATTGGAGCAGAATTTGGTGCCTTGTTATAAAGCAATGCTTGATGTTCAGCTTTGCTTATCGTTGCAGATGATGTTACTGTATCATGAAGTGTCATTTGTTGTATAGATGCTGTATGAGTTAATATTGGGGAGAAGTTTATTGAAGCAGTTGATAAAAGACTCGAAGATGTGGGACTTGAAGTGGGATGATGATGATGTGCACTTGTTTGCAAAGGACTTTCAGGCAAAAGATATTGTTGTTGATCGAATACAGACGATAATGGTAATGTGCCTTTTGGATTATTAAAATTTGGTGGTGGTTGTTGAGGATTAAAATTAGGTACATTCATTATTTGCTCTTTATGTGGATTATAATTTAATGCAGTAGATGACTCCCATGGATTAAAAACTGGCATTGTTTGTAGAATATCTTCTTGACTTGAAGAAATGTTAACAGGTACCAAAGGTACACTACTATGATCTACGCATGAAGTGATACTTTGCGAATTATCCTTATTATGTATTACATTTGCCATTGTAGGAAATTGCGATCGAGATCTGTTTATATCAAACGAAGATAATACATTATATTGTGAATCTTGATTTAAAGGCATTATATTTCTATGCAAATGCTGATTAAATCTTGTTGATTCATTCTGTGATCTATTATACGCGTATCTATGATTTCTATGTGACCATCTTGATTTAATCAGTTTTCTACGAAATGAGTGTGTTTGATATTTTGATGATGCTTTCCAATGAGATTCCTGCATATCATCAGAATTTGGATATTCTGATTGACACTGTAATGATGTATTCACAGATTTTGCTGCATTTAATTCATGATCATATATTTGAGTATTATCAGTTTGTGACATATTTATTTTTCCTGTATTTCCTTGCAAAGAATTCGTCGTTAATTCTGTATTAGATACTTCGGAAATATTTGACAAAGTAATAGACGTACAATGTGGAGAATTGGTGTCTTTATCTTTAATGGTATCATTATCTTTTAGCGATTTACTTTCTGTTACAATGTTATCATTAATAATCGTGACAGATTCATCGCTTAGAATGTTTTTTTCAATATCTGTCGCGTTTTGTTCAAATCTGTCTTTAATATTATTTCTTACTTCCTTGACATTGTCATGTATAAAATTAAATGCACTTCTAGCTTCATTAATGTCATTATTTTTATCAGACTTTACATTGTCCGAGTCAATCTTATCTAAATCTTTAAAATTATTACAAGAAAGATTAAGTTCAGGCTGTTCGTCTCCTAACTTAAGTGTATTTTTGTCTTTTATGTTAGACGATGGTACAATAGACGACGACAGATCATCTCCCCAAAGATTAGTAATATCTTCTTTGGTAATGATAGATAATTTTTCTTTTAATCTAACTGCAGTCTCAGTGATTTTCTTTTGACGTTCTTCCTCAGATCCAAGTAAAGGAATTGCTTGTAAACATTGTTTACGTTTAATATTTTTTGATTGATCCTCTCCATCGTGTAAGTTTTGCATAAACGTTGTTTTAGTACTTCCTCCATGTTTATTATGTTCTGAGGAATATGGCACGGTGGATGATCTATTAGAATTAGGAAAACGTACATTTTCTCTATGATTCCATCCTCTGTTATGGTGACGAAAATGGGATGCACCACGAAATATGGGACGTTGAAATTTAACATTGTTCCAAGAGACAAAACGTAAGTCGTGCTTCGATCTTCCTGACCAATTGTCCAGTGTTGGTAATCTATTATGAAGTAAACGGGGATGATTAAAACGAGGGTGAGATGAACAGGTCCCACGATAAGCACCAATTGGGCCATTTGGATGAATATTCCGTGGTTCAATGACCTTTTCTCGAAAACTAGATCCGCTCATTACACTTTACAGTACAACACTTTCTTATCCTTTGTATATTTATTGTACTTTTTATAATTTTGTATATAAAATCAATAATGTACAGATGAATGAAATAATTTATATTATTCATTTACTTAACGAAGTTTGTATCACAGTACTGAATGTGAATCTTCATAAAAACACTTAACTTGCTTTCATATAACATCGTGATACTGTTGTATCAATTATTTAATAATTTAATTTTTCAATCATAAACAATTTTTAAAACATAACCTGAAATATATATTTCATATAATTATACAAAGATATAAAATGCACAAATTTAACATAAACTGACAAATGTCAATTTCAATTAGAATATTAAATATTTATATTTAATGGAACAAATTACGAAATGCAATGAAGATAATAGTATTTTTCTTATTAACCATACAATGATATCAAAACAGTTTGGTTGACTACCTCTGTTAACACATTCGCCATGTTCTCAGTTGAACGTGTCAATCGCTATTAATTATTAATTGAAATTGTTCTTTCTTCGATCATTATTTTGATGTCGTTAATAATATTTCGATATATTTCATATCAGGATTAAAAATTTCTTCTATTTATCAGATCAAAACGAGAGTCGTTTTCGTTATATATTAGACAATGTAGTCTAATAGATATGCATATTGGAATTTAATAAATGATGAGATATTTTTTTATTTTGATCAAAGCTACAATAACTATTATTCTCTCTTCTCTATTTATAATATATAATTAATATTTGTAAATAGAAATAAAATAATCACAATATCCAAAATCCAACACTGTTTTTAAAAAGTATGTAAATTATACATATTTGATGTAGTTGCAACTTTAATGCCTGGTCACATGAGATGAAAACATAGTCAAAGCATTAACTATAAATGTTAGAGACTTTCCAAACAGTCAATAAAATCGTGCCTTCATTGTAAACCAGCCTTTACTTTTGATTAATGACATTTTATACTGTACAATAAAATATAATCATCATTTAAAATCAAATAAAATCAATAACAATTGCGTAATTTAAATCAATGTGAAATTTGTTTACATATAATTGTATTTATAAACTAACGATACAAATAAAAGGATTCAATTTAAAAGTATACAATTGTACACCTTAAATTCGTTTCTTTACCTAACCTTTTATCCATGGAGAATGATCTGGATTTTATCAAGATTTATCCACAGAGGAGTTGTCCGTCAATTCTGTGATATAGAATTCTTCGTTTGACAACATGAAACTATAAATGCTATATAATTGGATTAAACGTTCAGAAAAATTCTTTAATTATCGACATATTATAAATAATTGTAATTGAAATAATATTTGAAATTTAGTACCGCCTAATACTACTGGGAATTTTTCTTTTTTTTTTTTTATATATATACTATTAAAAATAATGGGATCATTAACAAGCAGACAAAATGCTGGTGTAGAAGAAGTTGATATTGTTTCAAATCATGCATATAAATATCCTCCACGCTCTGGTTAGTATAATTATACATGTATATTTACATTTAATAAAAATATATAATTTATATATCTTTACAATAGGAAGCTATTTTGGTAGTCATTTTATTATGGGTGGTGAAAGATTCGATACTCCACAACCAGAAGCATATCTTTTTGGAGAAAATGCAGATTTAAATTTTTTAGGCAGTCGACCAACACCTGTATGAATAATTCCATTTTTATATTATACTAATGTTGAACAATTTGCACAACATATCGAGTCAAAGTATATGTTACAGTTTCCATATCCACCACCACAAACAAATGATCCTACAAAAACATTAAAAAGTTTAGTAAATATCAGAAAAGAGTCATTAAGATTGGTAAGAAATGTGGACCAAACTTCAACATCTTCCCAGTGTCATAATGTAAAACGTTATGGTGATGGCGATGCTGACAAGAAACCAAATCGTTTCAATATTGAATTTACTTTTGATTGCGACGTTAGATGTGCTATTACAATATATTATTTTTGTACAGAAGAAGTTACAACCAAAGGGGTTACGTATGTATTTTTTTTTTTTTTTTTCTAATATTCATCTAAAAGAAACAGAGAGAGAGAGAGAGGGAGAGTAAATGTAACACTTTTATAGATATGTACCAAGAGATCCTTCTATGAATTCCGAAACATATCACTACAAAAAGGGTGCTAATCAATTGTTCTCTCAAACGTCCCATATATTTGATCCAAGTCTTTATAACGAAGATGATTTAATGTACAATGCAGACAGAGAAGTATGTATTATCAATATAACGTTTCAAAATACAAAAAAGTTATTCTGTATTTTATTCGTTTCGATTTTTTCTTCTTACATTAACAGATTATTCCAATAGCAATATATTGTATAGCAGAGGAAGGATCAGACGAACCAAAACAATCTCACACAACCATTGCTGTAGTAGAAAAACATTCAGATGGAACATATGTATTAAAAGCACTTAAGCAAAAACTTTATGTAGATGGACTTTGTTATTTATTGCAAGAAATTTACGGAATTGAGAATAAAAATACTGAAAGTGCAAAGGTAAATTAATATATAATTACATATATATATATATATATACAAATATTCTACGTATTTTGATCATTCAAAAATACTATATTGTACAGCAACAAGGCAGCGACGAAGATACAGACGATAATGGTTCTGAATGTGTCATTTGTATGTGTGATGTACGTGATACCTTAATTTTACCATGCAGACATTTGTGTTTGTGCAATGGTTGTGCAGATTCCCTTCGATATCAAGCAAACAATTGTCCTATTTGTCGTGCTCCTTTTCGAGCTCTTTTACAAATTAAAGCGCTTCAAAAAGCAACTGGAACTATTATATCTAACCCACCAATACCAGAGGTGGTAACATTATACTTTTTACAAATAATATATAATATTTAATATAAAACACAATAGAAACACATTTTTAAACTTGTAGGGTAGTTGCGAAAATATTCCAGCAGGTTACGAAGCAGTATCGCTTATAGAAGCTTTAAATGGTCCATATCCTCCAAGAACTACTGTCCTTGCACCTGAATCTCCTGATACACCCGATACAGACACAGCAAGCGCCATTCAAGCTGCAGAAGCATTGAACAGGTATATATTTCAAAATAATATTCTACAATAATTTATTGAATAAAAAATATTTTCTTACAGATCGGCCGAACGTACTCCTATTTCAAAGCATTTGTCTTCTAAGGATGGAGATATGAGTGCTAGAACTAGTGGCACTCCATGTCCCACTCCAGAATTTAGAATGTCAGTTCTTCTTGCAAGAGATGAAAATTCAGGATCACAAAAAGATTTACATGCTCGATCTCCTGCAGTAAGAACCAAATCTGGACATTCTCGTGATAAATCTGGTCTAAGATCACGTGATACTCTCAGATTAGTTAATGAAAAACAACCTGTTTCTTTGTACGAAGTAAGTTATAAAATTGTACTATTTCTTTTTACTTTTTCATTATACACATGATAATTCAAATTTTGTTCAACTTTCTTCTTCTATAGTATCAAAATTGTATTATAGATACAATTTTCTCTTTATGTCAACCATATACATTAGTATTTACAGGGCCAAGGACAAGACGAAGATAGCGAAGCAGAAAAATTATCTCCGCTGTTAGATGCAGCAACCAGTACTGAAGTTTTAGATGTTCATAATCATCGAATATGTGATGACATTGATGATGAGATTCAAAATACAGAAAATGATGATAATAATATTACATGCCATTCTCATTAATTTTGTAGAATTTTAAAAACAAAAGCAGGATATAATTTTATTTTTAAGCAAATATCACATTATGCTCTCTTTAAAAATCATCGTCCTATTTTATTTTAGTTCATGTATATATTGTAATTTATTCATCATTTTATTATATATATATATATATATTTACTTTATATTAAATTAGTATAGAAATTATATTTTGATGTTAAATGTAAGTACTGATGATTGTAAATATATAAATTTATGTAATGTCATTATTTTAAAATAATAACGTTCTTTTTTAATTACAAAAACGTGCTCTAATTATTATTATTCTTATTTAAGTAAAACTTGCCAATTTCATCACCATATTGTATGTGTTTCACTAGAAATTCAAGGATAAAATAACAGCAATGTTAAATATTTATTAACTTTTTTATTGAAATTGTTATTCAAAAGTTTCTTTTATGCTGTAGCAAGAACTTTTCGGAATTTTTTCCACTCTTCGAGTGGTCCATGCTCGGGCAAATATTTAACATTACAACCATCAGGAGCAAGACGACCAGCTGCTTTTAATTCTTCATATACAGCACGATCATATTTCGTAAAGCCCCACTTCTTAGATACATAAATTTTCTGACGACCAGGGAACTTGAATTTAGCACGACGTAATGCTTCTATTACAGCAGCCTTATGCCGATCTGATGAACGTACACTCATAATAGGTTGACCAATGTGTACTCTAGCAACGGTACCTTGAGGTTTACCAAAAGCACCTCTCATTCCAGTTTGGAGCCTATACAAAAAACAAATTTTTGTTTTTAATCTCTTTATAAAACTTTGATTAAAAATAACAATTTAACAAAATAATGCTAATTAAATTTACTAACCTATCAGCTCCAGCACATGATAACATTTTATTAATGCGGATGACATGGAAAGGATGGAGTCTCATACGAATATGAAATTGATCTTTACCAGCATTCTTAACCATGTATTTATTGGCGCAGATTCTACCTGCTTCAAGTGCTTCTGAACTAAGTTGTTCATATTCATCAGATACTAAATGCACACATAATGGAAAATCTTCTACAGAAGCCTTCTTCTTTCCAAGATCAAAAATACGGATTTTTGGATCCGGAACACCCCGACAAAATCTTGATTTAGGATAAGGTTTATTTTTGCAATAGCGATAACTGAAACATAATGGAAATATTATTTAATTTAATCTAAATTTTCGCGTATCTTTTTTGTGGAAAAAACACAATACACATAATGGGCCATGCAATGCTAAATCACAACTACTGTTACTTATACATGTGAATTACATTAAATATACTTTATTAATCAATTTTATTAAGAATAATATTTATCAAAATATATTCTTTATATAATAACAATATTTTGCAATGTCTATAAATGTTCTATAAATGAATACATACCACCTAGCTGGTCGGCGCCCCATTTTTGTCTGTAATTTGAAGAATCAAATATTAAATTGGAAAATATTTATTATAATTACTTATCAAATAAATTTATGTAAAAATTACGTTATTGGATATGCAATATATTCTACGATGCAACTTGATTATTAATAATAACTTGTAATAAAATCGCACTGACCTGCAACGAGGCTTAAGGCAGAAGAAAGGATACTATTATAAATCATGAACGTTGTTTAGAGGGAGGATGTGATGTTAATTCCAACTACGCTACTGTATCATCTATTGTACCAGTAGATGGCGCCATCGCGCCATGACAGTCATCGCTGACAAACACTGCAGCGCTGTAATCAAACGAGCTTTTTTTATTCATCGAAGGAATGTCTTAAGGTAACGTAGTTTATGACTCGATATATGCAATATACCTAGGTTATTATGTTTCTAGTATTGACATTGCATTTACAATATATATAAAATTAAATTAAATTTGAATAGTTCAGGGAGATGCTGGCCTATAATATATCAAATTTTAATTTATTTTTATCATGGAAACATCAGAGCTAACGGAAGAAAACCCTATGAGAAGTTCATTTACAGTTGATGATTTAGATATTGAGATACTACCTCTTATTTATGACATATTAAGAAGGTATGTATTTTAGTTACTGTGCTTATATTTTAAGTCTTATACTAGATATATGAAAACACGTATTGTTTATCTAAATATTATTTATATACATATCTTTAAATGTGTTGAAATAATTTTGCATCCAATCTGTTATATATACATTGAAGATTTAACATGTGTTATAAGGTTTACTAAGCGTTTCATATTTCTTATAAATAATACGTATAAGATATCTTCTCTCTCTAATTTTATTTGAGGTTAGGAAAACTAAAATGTAACATAATAATAATACAATTTGTAATGTACAATGTAATTAAAGATGATCATTCAATTATTTTCAGCGTGGAAAAAGATCCTCATGATACAACTCAAAAAGCAAAAGAATCACAAGATACTAGTCATAAAATACTAGAGTTACAAAAGAAATTGGATTCCGCAAGAACTCAGGTAATAATAATTCTTATAAGTACATATGTTATATATAAATATTGTAAAAAAAAAAAACATCTTAAAGATAAAGTTTATTTTGTTTTTTTTTTCAGATTAAGCGGTTACCAGGAATAGAATATAGTAAAGAAGAACAGTTACAAAAACTTGAAACTCTTCGTAAACAGCTACGACTTAAGCGTGAACTGTTATTGAAATATCGTAATATGTGCACATTTGAAGTACCTAAAATATAAATATTGATATTTTTTTTCTATAAAAAATAATTTTGATAAAAGTTATATTTAACATGGGTATTATACGTTTTATTATGCGATATTTATTAAATAATGAACAATTAATCAACAAGTTAGCAGATTCTAAACCAATTAGACAAAGTGCTAGATTCGTAGTTTATTTATTTACACGATCAAAATCAATGAGTCAAACAAATCAATTAAAATCTCCATCGGAAGCAATAGAGATATTGAAAAAATTTGCCAATAATATGAAAGATGAACTAAAACAAATTAAACAATCTAAAAAGAAGTAAATACATGACTATGTATATAGTGCAATTATTCGTAGGATTTAAATTCTTATCAATAGAATAATTCTGTACTCTCTATGTAGTCCTTGATTTTAATAAATATTACTAATTAGAATAAATGTATACATTCATTGTGTTTTATTGTTAATATAAAAGAACTTTTATAGTAGATACACAAAAAAGACACTACCATAAAGGTTTATTTAATTATATGTTTATTAAATTATAGAACTTATATAAGTACAGTTACTTATTTTTGTAATAATTTATGATAATAATCTTTATGTTTTAATAGCTTTTTTTTTTCATTAAGAGATCAAGTCCATTTCCATACAAATTTTGCAAAAAACAACAAAATAATCAATTGTTCGATCAAATATTTGGTCCATTTCTCTATCATTAATAGCTGTACCAAAAAAAAAAAACGTTTCAATACAAAAACTAACAACTTTTAAATATTATAAATAAAAATTGGAAAATACATTTAATGTAATTTTTACATACAAGCATGTCTTCCATTACTCTCAATTTCAATTGTTGAACATAACTCTGTTTGTAGATACTAAATATTAAATATCTATAAACTACTTAACTATTTATCAACCATCACTTTACATATTCCAAAATATAAACTAACAATGTCATTTTAAATCGATATTTATTTTTATATTAATGCCAACGTACAATTAAAATATCGATTTTTTCACATTGATTGTCTTTTTCAATCTTATTAATCAATTAATTACTTTATAATTAATATTTCAATAAACTTTGTACAATTGTGCAGACATGCTTGCGTCGATTTCAATTGGACAAATATTTATAACGAGGCAAGATTTTCTAAATTTAGAGTTAAATTTGTAATTTTTACTACAAAAATTAACTTTCAATTTTAATTTTATAATAAATTTTATTTTATTTTATATCATTAATATTAAAGTACTCTAAAAAATTAATTTTCTTTTTTTTTTTTTTTTTTTTATACATTGGAAAATAAGACTTCAAAAACAGTAATCTTGTTTAAAACTAATTAAACATGACTCTTTAAGAGAAATGTTTTTTCTTTTTTTTTGTCTACAAAAATCTATTTATTCTAAAACATTAAAGATTTTCTTAAAATCAATATATATATATATATATGTACTTTGTATATAAATATATTTTATATTTTTGTAGGAGGGTTTTGCTCTGACAGAGGTTGTACACTAGCATTGATAAGATTGTGAGATCTACCTCTTCGACCTATACCTTTTTTGTTTTGAGATGTGCCAGATTTTTGTGGCATATTTTCTTGCTTTGCATTCTGAAATTCAAATGTTGAACTTGTTTCATTTAATTCTTGTGGCTAAAAATGCAAACACAATTTTAATTAAAATTATGCTATTATGAAACACATCAAAGTTACATTTCAATATTTATTTTATTATAATCTCTTCTATTCTACTTCTATCTTACTTGATTAAGAGAAGAATTATTTAATCTGCCTTGTGATTTATTTGGTTTGTTCATTCTGAATATTTGTGTATTCATAGTGTTAGAATGAGGAATAAGGTTTGATACATTTCCTACTGCTTTAGTGCGACCTTCTCTGAAAACTATTCGTTGACCACGTTTTATATATTCTGGATGTTTTATGAATCTGAAGTGTACCAATGCTTTATCTCCTGTTCTTAAACAATCCTGAGACATTGAGATAATAGAAGCAGTTTGTCTTATACTGCCACAGTGAACTGTAATATATAATGAAACATTAAATGTTGTTACAATTTTATAATATATACAAAAAGTAAAACAGATGTGTGTATGTGTGTGTGTGTGTGTAATTAATTTACCCATTGCTTGATATCGAGAACTGATCGTTGTAGGATGATGTAACACCAAGATTTCACCTTCAAATTCCCAGCATGCTTGAGGATTTAAGGCTGGTGCAACCATCACCATGCCTTTCCTAATTTGTGATCTTTTTATCTTTTTTAAAGCAAAACTTGCTGTTTGACCTCCTCTTACTTCACGAACTGGCATTCTTTTTCTGTGGATACTTTTTACAGTGATGGGTATAAAATGTCCCAAAGGATCAGGCCCCAATAATAAAGTATCATTTAACTTAATTACACCTTTCAAAGTTGTACCAGACACCACAGTACCAACGCCCTAAAGATTACCAAACTTGGATTAAAATGAAAGAGAAAAAAAGAATAGCAAAAGAAATTATTTTTTTGTAACTTACTGGTACAGAATAAGTATCATCAATTTGAAATTCTGCTGGTTCATCATCATGACTAGTTATTCTAGCAGTCAGAAGATTTAAAAACATTTTAAGAAGATCTAAATTTTCTCCACTCACATTAGATACTTGGAAAATGGGACATAATCTGTATTATAAATAAGTAAAACATTTAAATTTCTTATCTTTTGTTTATAGCTATAAGTTTGTGTAATTAAATGAACTAACCGTTCCGATACAAAATTAGTTGCACTAACAACAACATCGTCTGGAGTTTTGACTATGACGGGAACTTTTCTACAGCCAGGTGATTTCAATATTTTTATAAGCAATTTTAAATTTTCTTGTAAGACATTTGGTGGACACATATCAATTTTGGTTACTACCACAAATACAGGTACTGAAAGAGCTAAAGCCAATCCTAAATGCTCTTTAGTCATTCCAACAATACCAGCATTTGCTCCAACCATTAACATGCCTTAAACACAAAATAGTTTTAATAAGAAAAAGTTGAACTAGTTCTTTTAAAACAGCTTACCAAAATCTGGAGCATGTCCAGTCATTCCAAAAACAGTTGTTTTAAGATACCGTTCATGTCCAGCGAGATCAATAAACGTTATAACTTTGGATGATTTCTCACATATTTTTACCCAATCTAAGGAACCATGTTCTGGTTTATTGACAACATTTCCTAAAATACAAATACATTGTCATATAAGCATACTGTAACGCAAAATTGACAACGCAAATGATTTTAACACGTACCAACACTATCAAATCCAAGTATATCATTTCCAACAGAGCTAGTACGTCCCGTTTCAGCTTCATGTTTATGACGAAATAATTTTTGACGAGCTAAACCTCTTCCATTGTCTAATTCACCATGTGTCAGTACTCCTAAAAGTGTTGATTTTCCTGCATCCACATTACCAACAACAGCAACTCTACAAGATTTCATTGAATATTTTTAACAAAATTAATAATAGCTTCATTATTATTTTGATAATTATTTAGAAAAACCTAATTTCGAGAAAATCTTGCAGGTCCAGCCGCCTCCGTACAAGGCATTGTCCAGTCAAGCCTTGATCTACTTTACTTTGACGTAAGAGTACACAATCAGCTTCTAATGTAGCAGCGAGCGATTGTAAAGTAGCTACCGATGCTTCATATTCATCTTCTTTTAATCCATCCTCGGAACCATCTACAAGAAGCATAGTCAAATAATTAATTATGCAATATATTCTAATGTGTTAATAATCTTACTTATTATTATTACGATATGTACCTTCTGCAATACCAATGTCAAATATAGTTTCGCTTCCACCATCATGAATCCTTTCTTTTAGTCTTTTAAGCAGTAGCTCATATTGATCCTCCGATGGACTAACTAATACATTCTACAATTGTAAATAGTTTATTGTTAACAAAGTTCACATATTTGTTAGTTACAAGATTTATCAAATCTAAAAGAGATATACCTTTCCTCTGATACTCGAATAGTCTATCACAGTTGGTGATAGATGTTCTTTCCCTGAAGTTTGCGCAACAGCTGATGTTATAATTGAACCAGAACTAGACATTTTCTTTTTTTTTTTTTTTTACAAATGATCTATTTATTATGAATTAGTAATAAATTGTATTTATCTATTGTATTTTGCTTGTTTTTATTCGGTTTTGGAATTGCTTTATGTACACATGTAGATATCAATCATTTTCCAATATTTAAATCCAAATCTTTTTCTATAAATTATTAACTTCAATCTATGCATAACTGATGCATACGAAAATTGTGCACTTGGTTATTAGTTAAATAACATTGTACTGCTTCTTAAATGTGTTATAGTTCAAATTTTCAATAAATTCAAAATACATTGAAACATTTGTTTGATACAAAGTAATCGATCTTTTCTCCAATTTGTACCTGAATAAATCAATAAATGAATTTAATGTTAATGTTTGACAAAACTTTCATAGTATTGTTATAATAGATATACCTTATTGTAGAAAGTTATGGTATAACAATAATAATATTTTTTTACATATTGTTGGTTTAGATAAATAATTTTAATAAATTTATCTACAATTAGTTTTGAAAATGTTCATTTTGATCTTATTATAACTGGTGGAACAAAATATGCAGAATATAATTTTAACAATAATTGACTGATGAAACATATGAATGAGAACATATTGTACGTTCCATAATGGAATTTTATCTATTAATATATACATATCAATAATTGAAATATATGTTGTAATTAATAACAACTTGAATTTAATTGAATAATATTGAAATACCTATAGTAGTTGCTTGTAAATGTGGATTTAAAAGGAACCAAAGAAAACTGACATGTTGACACTTGAAAATTACGAAATGAGTTGTCAATGATTGCGTGATATTACATTTTAAATTTCAGACGCACAATGTTTAAGTAAGAATCATCCCTTTCAACAAATATTCTTATGAATAAAATTAACAGAGCACTATTTTATCAAAATCAATTTTATTATTCTATTTTTAAACACAAAATCTCTAATACGCGTTTTATTTGTAAATAGCAATGATCCGCATCATTGAATAGTTTTGGATCATGCAAACTTTCTAATGTACGATCTTTTACAATTCAACATAAAGGAGCATTTCTAATGGACATCAATGTACCGGACGGGATTTTTCTTTTTCTTTTTCTTTTTTTACAGATATAAAAATTCAATATTATTCGAATCTTATGATTAAGAAAAAATATCTATATATAAATTTATATTGTTCGAAATTATATTTAACAATTATAGTAAACGATAGTTGAATGAGATGATAAGCAGAGAAAGGATTGGATCGTTCTTTTCGTATCAACAAAGTTCACCAATCAGAATAGAATATTATCATAACATTATGCGCCATATATATATATATATATATATATATATATATATATATTTGTGTGTGTGTATATGTATATATACAATTAAAGAGATAGCCAATGGAAATAAACGAAGTGTAATATTCTACCTATAAGTAAATACTTTATAAAAGTGTCAAATGCACAGAGGTTATAAATAAATAATCCATCGTGTGTTGGTATTCAAGCGATTAATTTTACTTATTGAAATTTCTTTCTTGATATACTTATAAGGAAATTATGTAGTTACGATGGTGGCAAATACAGGAAGTGATATGACTGGATCTATTTACCATGAAAGACAGGTAAATAATACGTACATTTTTTCCACAACATTGGAAATAATGATTTAATAAGATCATTAATTAATTTCGATTATAGGTAAAAGAGCTTTGTGCTCTACACGCATTAAATAATTTATTTCAAGAACGTGATTTTAGTAAACAAGAATTAGATCAAATTTGTTATAGCTTAAGTCCTGCAGTGTGGATTAATCCTCACAAATCTTTATTAGGACTTGGAAATTATGACATTAATGTTATTATGGCTGCATTACAACGAAGAGGCCGTGAAGCAGTTTGGTTTGACAAACGCAGGTAAATTTTAACTTTCAACATCATATAATAACATTGTAATATTATTTGATAATATTTTAATCATTTTCTGTGAATATTCACATTTACAGAGATCCAAAGTGTCTTTGCCTTGACAATATTGAAGGCTTCATATTAAATGTTCCAACAGAATATAAACTGGGTTTTGTATTACTCCCATTGAAAAGGCGTCATTGGATTGCCTTGAAAAAAATTCATGGTACCTTTTATAATTTAGATTCAAAGTTAGATTCACCACAACTTATAGGAAAAGTGAGTTATTAAAATGATATTATTTGCTAGTACAAAATATAGATATAAACTTAATAAACAATTATGATATTACTATAATTTTACACAGGATAATGAATTGCTTGTATATCTCAAGGACCAAATAGATAGTAAAGAAAAGGAGTTATTTCTTGTTGTCTCTAGAGAGATAGATAGTAATCAAGGATGGTTAATGGAGTCATATGAAATTAAGGAAGATAATAATATTGATCATGATTCAATTAGGTATATCGAAGATGGCTATCCATCTGACATAGATTTAAAGAAATCGGAATCTAAAGAGATGAATGAAAACGAGGAATTAATATGTAATAAAAATACTAGATAATTTTTACTCAACAATAAAAGTGTGATATTAATGTGGGATAATATGATTTATGGAGGAAGGAATCAAGGCAAATGATCAATGGATTTTTTAAATTATAAGAAATACTATCGGAAGAGCAAAAAGTTAGAGTTAATGAATGTTTTTCTGATATAGAACTCTACAAAGTAGCAGTTCTGACTATACTTAGATTACTATCTCAATACATTGAAATTGTTGACAAATAATTTGAATTTCTAATTAATAATTCACACATGAGTATTATTAAAGCTTATATGTGATGCACTTGGTAGAAGTTGAAAAGAACTATTTGTGCTGAAATTTGTAATTTATGTTGCTTTTAAGTTATAATCATATAGAAAAAGTACTATATTTTTTGTCGAGATAGATGCATTAGAAAATTTTTGTTATTAATGAGAGGTTGTTTATTTATTATTTGTTATTGTAAATGCTAAAAAAAATAAATATTAATATTTATATTATGTTATTAGCTGGCATTGTCTATTGTTTTTTATTTTACAAATTTCTTTAAATAAGTAAGTCATTGTCTACGTTATGTAGATAGACAATTGAAAGGTTTTATGGATTAAAAATTGTCTCCATAAAACTTAAATAATAGCATATAATAAAATATCAGTATTAGTTAGTCCTTTTGTATAACTATAAAAAAAAAAAAACTTATTCCACAGATGCCAAGATAATTGAATTGCATTTAGTAAAGTTTATTTTACATGAAAATTAATGTTTGATATAAAAGTAATATATTATAATAACAATTGTATGTAAAAAAAAAAAAAGACCAAAATAATGATCTTAAATGATATGAATATATATATAAATATATTTAAATTACTTAAAAAAGGACAGTTAATAGACAATTAATAGACTTATAGTTGTAAATTAATTGAATGTTACTTATCTTAAATAACAATATTCGATATTTAATTTTTCAAATGTTTTATCTAGGTAAAAATATGGCCTCATAAATAAATATATTGTAATTAATTTAAACACTTAAATACGTTCTATTTACATATTATCGCGCGAAATAATATAATTATAATAAACTTATAAATGTATATATTATAAAATCAGATGTTTAATGAAGACAATCTGTCCACTTCAAACACAATGTGATTTTATTATTACGTAATTATCAATAAAGAGTCATATTCCTGCAACTTTGTATATACATACAAATACAGATGCTATGATAAATCTTTAGATAATAAAAGTTTTTTCATATAATTATAAAGAAGGGAGATATTTAAGAGTGATTCTATTTAGATAAAATACCTTGTATATAGATACTTACACAAAATTCTTTTTTACAATAATATATATTTTACCACTTAATCGATAGAGCTGTATTCATTTTTTCTATTTCATGATATTGCGTATGAAGATAAGCTGCAGCTTTATCTGTATTTTCTCCATTCAGCCATTTTTCATATAATTTATGTACAGCTAGATTTTCTTCAGGTGTACTAATTGGTAAATCATGATACATAGTTTCAAGCTTTAATGCAAGTTCCCGAGGTTGAATATTATCTTGAGGCCTTATTTGTGCCCCACCATTTAAACATCCTAATATATATATATAAAGATTTATCATATGCGAGTAAAATAATTAAAGTAGTAAGTTAAAACTTACCAGAAGGACATGCCATAATTTCCACATAATCATAAGAACATTTTCCTCTTTTTAATTTTTGTACAAGATTTTGTATATTCCTAAATCCATTAGCTATTGCAAATTTTAATAATACTTTTCCATCTTTTTCTAATACTGCTTCTTGAAAGTCAGGATTTCTCAAACTTTTAAATTCCAATGTTGCATCATTTTCATCGAACAAATGCTTTGCAGCATAATGAAAGATAAAATCAGCATAACCACCAGATCCAGATCCTTTATGACTCAATAAATCATTATTTATTTTATCATTACATAATCCAAATGGTTTTTTAATTTCTCCATCTTCAATATCATTCAAAGTTAAATGACTTTCATTGAGCATTTGTTCCAATTCGACTGAAAATAAATTTGCTATAAATAAAACTGATTATATATGACATATAAAAGTAACATACTTGACGTAATAACACAATCCACATCTCGACTATTTTTTTGTTGATTATAAAAATCTTCACGAGATGCTTCTAATTTTTTATCATAACAAGGCATAACAGTAACATGATATACTTGTTCTGGCGAAAGACCCATATTTTCAGCTAAATGATACTTAACTAATGATCCCATAATTTGCTGTGGTGATTTGGTTACGCTTATATATGGTAAAATAAAATTACCATGGGTCTTCTCAGCATAACATACCCAGCCTATAAAGAAAATATTTCATCTTAAACGAAAAATTATATTTCAAAAGAGAAAGTAATAAAAAAAAAAAAAAAGATACCTGGGCATGAAGATGCTAACATTGGTAATTGCTTGTCAGTACCTTCTTTTGCAACTTTATAACGTTCAACAAACTCTTTGGCAGATTCCAAAAGTGCAAAATCATCGGCGATACTCATATCTAAAACTACATCTGCTCCTAACTTGTAAAAATATCCAGCAAGCTTGTGTAAAGCTTGTTCTGGTTTTAATTCGTAACGTTGTGCCATGGATAATATTGGTTGAACAGATAAACTTACTACTATGTACATCAAACACTCATTTTTCTGATTCTAATGACAAAAAATTGACGTTAAAAGTACATTTACAATGTCTTCATTAATTACTGATCAAGATTGAACTATCTATAAGATTACTTACTTGTTGTTGATTTACTTTTTCTTGAAAAACTCTTAAAAGATCCTCAGGACATTGTTGAGAAACTAACACACTTTCAGCAGAAGTAATGCATCCACTACATGCTAAACAATCAGCTAATGTAATTTCAACTTTTTCTAATTTTTCCGGAACATTATTCTACAAAATATCAAACATAGTAAGATTTAGATAATGAGGTTATGTAAATACTCATAAATTTTCATTAAAAACAATTGTTAAATGTACCTCTTTTAACGAATAGTACGTTCCATCTTCTTCAATTTTTATTTTTGCACCTGTTTTACTTTTAGACGTTTTGATTTCAACTGGCTTTATGCATTCCTAGAAAAAAAAAAAAAAAAAGAACAAAATTGTAATTTAACCTATGAAAGCAAAAATAATAATTTATTTAATATCTTGTAATTTTGTTTTTTTTACTGATTATTTACCTGTGATGGAGTAATGAAATCATCTAAATTTGTAATTTGTAAAGCACCACTAAATCGTGATGCCATTTTAAGAGGTGTATGTATTTTATATTTATTATTGAAAATATGACGTGTTAACCTATAAAATGTAACATGTGATACAAGATAATCTAGGATCTAAACAATAACCCCCTCTCCTTCAATGACTCATTCAATTCTGAAGCATGCGTACGCCTGGTAAATGGCAACCATTCTATTTCGTAACAAATCGGGTATCGTTCTATTTGGAGTTGTTTTTGAATGTATTAAATTATTTACAAAATGACAGAAGTGAAAAAAGACGACGTTGTTAAAATTCTACACACTTATCCACTTTGCAGAGTGAGTAACAATAGTTCAATGTGCAAAGTATCCCATTCATATGAGAAATGAAATTTGATAAAACGTTTGATCAATAAGTCAAACGTTTTGCCTGGTAAACAGGCAAGGTTTTTTTATTTGTATATTTGTTTTATTCAACATTTCAATATTTTCTCATTTGATTTTATAATTGTTGTTGTTGTAATATATCTGTAACATATGTAGAAAAGGTTTATATGAAATATATTAAAATATGTTTGTTTATAGAAATGTGACATGTCGGATGAAATGAAACAAGAAGCAATGGAATTATGCGTGACTGCTGCAGAAAAGTATGCCGATAATTATGAGAGCGTATCTCGGATGATCAAAGAAACGATGGATAAAAAGTTTGGAGCTTCTTGGCATACCGTTGTTGGCGAAGGTTATGGATTTGAGATAACGTATCAATTGAAACATTTATTATACATGTATTGTGCTGGTAACTTAGCAATATGCATTTGGAAATCTGCATAATTTGATTTGTCCAAAGAGACAAAAGAAGAAGTCACTTTTTATGAAATCTGCAAAATCTTCATTTATGATTTGTGCATTTTATTAATGTTAATAATGCATTAGCTGAAATGCAATATAATTAATTAATCTAGTCTGTACAATATTTTGAAGAACATCGTGCTGCTCATATAAAACAAATATACGAAAATCAAAATACCATGAAAGTATAACACTATTGAATAATACTTACAATTTATATTTACGTATATATATATGTAATGAAAAGACATGTGTGCTCTGTGTATATAGTTATTAAGAAATACCATTAATGTTTCTACACAATATAACATAAGTATATTTATAAGTAAATAAAAGTAATAAAAACACACAATTGAAAATATATAAAATTAATATGAAAATCATATTATTTGTATTGGCTAACCGTTCTCCAAACAAGAATAGCAATATTTCCACCCGTGAACATATATAATAAAGTATTTTCTTGATGGGTTATAGCACAAGCGTAAGATTCACCAACAACAACTTGAAAAGGCGCGCCAAATTTTCTGTCCAAACTTTCCTTGATCATGCGTGCCGTTTGTTCATAATCCTCAGCATGTTTTTCAGCAGCAGTAGAACACGTTTCCATAACTTCTTGTTTCATTTCTTCTGGCATATCTGTATACTGCAAAAGTATTAAACAATTACAAAGTTTTATGATATCTCATAGTTTTTTCAAATTCTACCTTGCATAAGGCATACGTATGAAATATAAATTGAGGTTCTTCTTTTTTGACTTCACCAGCCAACATTTTTGCATTTTACTTTTTCAATTTTTAATACTAATATTTTTCGATTAAATCAATATATATTTTAAATATACGACGAAAAGAGATTGTCCAATTTAATGCTATTTATGCGAAAATTCTTGATGTTAATAAATTAATATTTTCATTAATATATATTCGTGTTTAAATATTGTCCAAATTTAAATGATGAAACAAATGGCGCTGCTTGTCGTTTTTTCTACATTTATTAATACTAATTAAAAATATGCGTGTGTGTGCGTGCGCGTACGTACATAAGTCTGTTCATTCATCAAATGACTATACTGATCTTTTATACTATGCGTGTAAATATTATCTAGTTAATAAATAGATCGTAAAAAAAAAACATTATAAATTTGATTTATTATATATACGATATTTACTTCGTGTAGTGCAAATTTACACGGTAAGTTAATGTAACATATTTTTTAAAAGGAATAAGAGAGAGTTACGTTTATATATATATATATATTTTTTTTTTTAATTTTGTTTATGTAAGATAACATAATTAGTAAAACGTTAAAAGGAAATTAATAATTTTTACATCTGAATAATTAATTCCATAATTTATTTATTCATCACAGCTTCTCTGTCAAGCTATTGTTGGCAAATCGTGTCATGCCGACCATTCATGGACTTTAAACATTTATGGAATACTAATTTGTGACAACACAGCAAAAACAAAAACATTAAGTAATATCAGAATTTTTTTAAATTATCGAAACTAATATATCGTGCATATATATATATATATATATACATACATGATATTTATTTCTATAACCTATCATGGAACATGTGTATTGTATTAATAATAGATAATTTGAACATAGTTCTTAATTTTCAATGATTTACATTAGATCTATTTAAAAATAATATAATTATTTCCTTTTCTTGTGATCCTATTCAGTTGCTTACATTTTATTTCAGTTTTACTAAGCATGATAAGATAAAAGTTTTTATGATTTCTATTTGCTGTTTTGTATTTGAAAAATAAATGAAATTATAAAATAAAAAACATACGTGTCTTTTGCAGTGCATACTACGGCTAGTATACAACGACCAAAGAAGAAAATACTCAAACTAGATATAAATGTATTCATTTTCCATCTGCTTTAAAAAAAAAAGTATTGTAGTTTTGTATAAATCTTTTTGAAACATTATAAAACGTGTACTATATTACTTGTTATATTTATTGAAATCTCTATCATTCTTATTTTTACAGAATAATGAGTAATTTAGAAAGTAAAGCTCTAATTGCAGCTGCGATTGGAGTTACTGTTGGTGTTATTAGTGTGGCTGGTATGTTTTTTTATCAACAATTTCTCAATAAACAAAAATACCAAGCAGGGAATAATAGTCTTGAACCTGTTTATCAAAGTCTTGCCAAACTACAAAAAGAAGTAGAAGCACTAAGGTATAAATGATATCAAATAAAATAATATTGTATTTGTTATGTATAATAACATCTAATGTCTTTTTTAGACAACAACAAAAAAGGAAGAAGAGATCAACGTCTTTGAATAGAAAAAATACATTAAGTTCTAATGATAATACATATGTTTCAACAGAAAACGATTTAGACTCATATTCTACAGCAGGAACTGATATTGCTGATGATGAATTTTTTGACTGTTCAGACGTTGAAGATGGTACTGAAGATATTGAATCAAGGTTTGACATATATCAAAATTATTTTAAATAATTGTATGATTATTATTAAATCAAAATGTATATCATGAAAGGAAGAGATTATATGTTTAGTGATACAGGGAATCAACGTCAATAAACCAATTGGAAACAGAACTCATGACAATTGATGCACAAGACAGAACGGAAGAACAGAATGAATGTACCACATATTATAAATTAAAAGAATTAATCGAATTACATCCACATAATGTAGGCGTAATATGGAGATTTGCTAGAGCTTGTTACAGTTGTATTTCTAATTTTACTGATGTAGAACATAAAACTGAAATTATTAGTGAAGGTAGTTTTGCAATTAGTAGAGAGAGATAGTAAAGTATATACATATATATCTATATATTAGTATTAGTATTAAAATTACATTATATACTACTTTATTTTGTAGGACTCAAAGCTTGTGAACGAGTTATTGATGTAGAGGATGCAGATCTTCATAAATGGTATGCTATTCTCATAGGTACACACGGTGAATATCTGCCAACGGCAGAAAAAATAAAAAATGGAACTGTCTTTAAGAATCATGTAATGATAGCTTTAAAAATTCGCCCAAAAGATCCTTCTCTACATCATCTCCTTGGTAGATTTCAATTTGAACTGTCTGGTTTATCTTGGTTTGAAAAAAAAGTATGTTTATCTGTAATAATATTCTATTTCTGTTAACAACTGATAATATCTTTAATTATTTTTTTATTTTAAAATTATATTCCAAACAGTTAGCATCAACATTTTTTGCTGAACCTCCAAATGCTTCCTACGATGAGGCAATTGAAAGTTTCGAACAAGCTGAAGAATTAGCAACTGTACCACATCTAGAAAATCGTTTATTTCTTAGCAAAGCCTACATAGCTAAAAGTAATTTTAAAAAGGCAGTTCATTTGTTGGATGACATTTGTCAACAATCGGTTGTAACCAAAGAAGAACAGAATGTACAATCTGAAGCAAAAAAATTATTGGAAACACATTCAAAATATCTTTAAAAAAGTATCTGAAGTGTAGCTGCTTATTCTACATTTTTCAGCATAATATTTTCTAATTTGATTATAAAAAAAAAAAAAAAAACTAAATAAGATTTGATAGTAATATTATTGTATAGTGAAATTTGTAAAAAAAAAACAAACAAAATACTAATGGTATTATGGCTTAATTATTGAATAATGAAAGCTAAATACTAAACAAGTGAAAATGATCTTACTGTAGTATATAGATGACAACGTAATAACAGTGAGTTGTAGAAAAAATAATCGTATTATAATTCTGGAAAATGTAACAATAATCAATATGGTTTTTTAAAATGATATTTAATACTTCAAAAAAAAAAATATATATATATATATATATATTTATATATATATTAATTTTGTAACTTTTATATGATTATTTTTTCTTTTCATATAAATTATGCTCCTTTATTATATAGAACATCAAGATCTGTATTCTTTCTATCAATTTTCTTAAATGTAACCATTATATATTTTATGACTACTATAATAATATTATTTAGTACAAAAATATCTGTAAATTTAACAGTTATATTTAATTGCGGGGAATATGTTATATTTTATTTTTTTGTAGTTTTTGGATATCTTTTTCCTATTTGTTAAATAAAGGTCGTTAATTTTAGATGTTTATCTAATTTACGGCCTATATTGGCCCAATAAATGGATTTGATTACAATATTTGTTTTCGCTCATACACACTTATACATATATTATATTTGGTTTATATAAGATAATCATCTTTTTTTTTATATATATATATATATATATATATATATATATATGTATATATTTTGTATTTTCACATTGTGCTTTTCAATAGTTTCATATTAATTTGTATTAAATAATTGTTGAATTATTTATTAATAGCATAATATGGCATATCATAAGTTATTCTTTGAGGATTGTAGCCCTGTATATAGAAGATCAATAATGGTCCAGCAGCATCCCACAACTCAGTTGATACTGGGTAAAGAAGAGAGGGTGTTAAGGGTGGTACAGTGTGAAGCCCTTGTAACAAGGTTGTAGAGAAGCCTAAGAAAAACGATATTTCACAAGAAAGCAGTTGACATTCAATGCCTATGAAGAATAGTTGAATTGTCAAATTTATGTCAAAGTAAGTAGAAGTTTATTATTGTAAAGTAGAAGAAGAACGATAGTGCAAATAATATAATAGTTGTTAATATATGTATAATATAATAAAATAATGATTAAAATGAAGATGAAAATAATAAGAAATATTTGATTTTGTATTAAATTATATTTACAGGCTGTAATGCGTGGACTGTTGCGTGGTATGTTATACTGTGCTCTTTGGTATGGTAGTATCGTAGCTGGTTTCTTATTTATTGCTTGTCCACTTTTACCACTTTTGCTATTCAGTCCTCCAAAATTTCGAAAATGTGGAGATTTGCTATTTTCTTGTTGGGAACTTTATCCCACAGTGAGTTTATTGTATTGATTTTTTCATTATTTCATTTTGTTATATAGACAATGAATGTTAGATACATTTATTTTAGGCGCTGTTAAAGATATTTGGTGTGAAAATTTTGGTATCAGGAGATCACATTTCTCCTAACGAATCAGCTGTTCTTGTAATGAATCACAGAACACGAGTAGACTGGAATTTTTTATGGGCTGCGATGTATCAAGCTTGTATGCCTGATATAGCTTGTCATCGATTGAAATTTATTTTGAAAGATCCAATAAGACATATACCAGGACCAGGTGAATAAAAAAACAATCATTGTAAATGTTATAATATAAACTATGTCATTCTGATATGTTTGACAGGATGGATAATGCAAATGAATGGCTTCCTCTACATAACACGTCGTTGGGAAGAAGACAAAGGTCGTCTATTACGTACTTTGGACTATTTGGTAGCACTAAAAAGACGTACACAATTACTTATATTCCCAGAGGGTACAGATTTAACAAAAACTAGTAAAGAGAAGTCTGATAAATATGCTTTACAACATCAACTACCTCAATATATTTATACACTACATCCAAAAACTACAGGATTTAGTTACTTAGTGCAACATCTCCAGCGAGCAAATTATCTTGATGCTATATATGATTTAACAATAGCATATCCCGATTATGTTCCACAGTCTGAAATTGATTTAATTAAAGGCAAATTACCTCATGAAGTACATTTTTATATCAAACGAATACCATTTTCTGATATACCGACACATGAATTGATGTTACGACAGTGGTTAGAAGATAGATGGTCTAACAAAGAAAAAATATTGAAAACTTTTTATGAAAAGAAAAGTTTTCCTACTGAAGTATGGCCAAGAGCAAAAATGTTTCCATTACAAGCTGCGTTTAGTTTCTGGAGTATATTAACTGGTAATAATACATTAGTACATTATTCTAATGAAACTATATTATTCATTTACTTTTAAATATAATCAATATTTATATAGGTATGACGATATTATTATTAATTGTTTCTCCAATATTTCAACTGTGGGCATTGATACATGCTATCTTTTTTATTGGATTATCTTTATTTACAACTGGATTCAATCAAATTGAAATGGGATGGTATTGGCGTTGGAAAACACATTCATTTTGGGCAAAACACAGTTAATAAGAACGTTTTAATCAGAGTAAGTAATAAACTAATTTTGATGCTTTTATGTCACTGTGATATTGGTACATCTAACTAACATTTGGATGTAGATCTGTCATACTTATAAATAATGTTCCTTCTGTTGTACACGTTAGATTTTAAAGTAATATGTATTTAGAGCATGTATATATTTACAAAAAGTTCAAAATAATATTGATAACGATACTACATAATAATTATGATGGCAGAATCAAGCAAAATGTGAAAAACATATACTAAATACGAAGAAATTTTGTACAATTGTTACATATAGACATTTATTTATTTATTTATTTATTTATTCATTCATTTACTGCATGCCTTCTGGCTTATGATTCGCAGGAGTATTAACAATCTTTAAAAGATAATATAAAAATTTTGTAAATATGCCCACTAATATGAAGAAAAAAAAAAAGATCTTTTTATACAATTATATACTATTGCTCATTTAAAAAATGAGTCATTAATAAGAAAAAAAAAACAATATTGTTGAACTATTAATAATTAATCTATCAAAAATAATTAATATATAATTTTGGAAATTAAAGTATAAATAAGAGTAAGAATATGTATTAATATTGGAAGTAATAAGTTCTTTAACTTGTGTACTTTTATAAAAAATATTATTAGTTTACTATCTTCATTAAACCAAAGAAAAAAAGTACAAAATTGTTTTTAATTTAAAAGAAGGAATAATATAAATAATGAAATGAAAAATAATATGTGGCATATATATATATATATATATAATGTATATATATAGATATCTAATTGTAAGTTATTCAAGAAAATAGTTGATAAATCATTGTCGTGTATCGTGTAGTGTAATAGATTTCTATTTTTTTTGTTTTTTTTGTTAATAGTTATAAGAAATGTTTCAAATGAAGTAAAAGTGAATTCATGTGCCAAAGAGAAACATGCAGAGAGTTTGTAGTTCTCTAAATGATAAATATTACAAATTAAAAATGATATATCTATTATTCTATTATTCTATATGTGTATATATTGGTAAAAATACGAAATCTGTTATATCGCGAATTGATTCGTTAAAGTTTTGAAGTATTGAAAAACGTTAACAATGTCGATTTCTTATTACTCAATTTGCGATACAGCAAATTTTGAGTACTTACATAAATATATTTATAAAGTATAAGATTTTAATCTATTTAGTCATTGAAAATATTAATTAATATATTATAGAAACAATTAGCAAATGGTTCATTTATAAAAGTTCTCTTTTGTCCAGAGAGCTGTACATATTTAAACTATAATTGTATTCAAAAATCTAATTACAACAATTGTAATCACCATTTGAAATAAATGTATATGATTAGATTGATAAATATTATTCCACTATTTTATATTAATATTATATATGTAAATGGAATATTCTAAATGGAAAGATATACCACACAAAAATTAAATTAAATTAAATTAAATTTTAGACTTAACACATACAAATTGAAATTAATAAATCCAAACGTTCATTTCTTAAAACCTAATTCTTTTTGTGCTGAATAAATGATAGAAATCGTCTGTTCGTCAAACAAATATTTCATTTTATGAGCAAAATGAAAAGACGAATATAACGTTTCCATCCATTCTTCATTACCTGTTAATATTATCTGCATAATATCCGGAAAATGAAAAATTATATCTCCAAGAAAAGCTGTGTTTTCTAGTATTGTAAACAAGGCTATAAAGTTAACAAAAATGATATTAGCAACATACTATGTCAAATATTGGCTATATGATATTTATTTTGTACTAAATATAAATATAACTCTTACCATCTCCAATAATACATTCTTTTAAATCATAACCAGGAACATCATTTATATAATTTTCTACTAATGTTGAACTATTTTGACTAGATTCAATAATATCTTTAGTAAGTAATATTATCGTTTCAAATCTCATATCATATGAATCCATTTTTTCAATAGCTTTAATAATTTCTGCATACTGTTGTCTACGTTCTAAAAGGGATGTTTGAACTATAACGCGTATAAATATAAATAGAAATTAATATTAATATTAGATTTTTATGTAAAATAAATATTTTAAAGTACATACACGATGTGTCGTTTGGTTCAAATTTAAATATTACATCTTCCAATAGATTTTTATTCATTATTTTGGTATTATTCTCTGTGGATTCTGTCTGCATATACATAACTGCTGATAATACTAATAACAATTGAATACATATTAACACCCACGGTAATTTTACTTGCATGATGATACAACAAATTGAATATAATGTATGCGAAGATAAAATGTACAATAGAATAAAGTTCTTTTCTAAATTTAAATATATATATATATATACAGGACATTTCTAAGAACGTATATAAATATAAATATTAATTCAATAGGAAATGTAAACCAATGTCAAGTGTTGTAACGGATAATGTTGATTTTATAAACGCTTTAATTGTACACAAACACAAAATGGAATTAAAAATAATATATATAATATTATATAGAAATCATATTATATTCAAAGTGTAAAACAATTGTGTTATACTGTATAAATCGTATTTTATTGTATATATATATATATATATATATAAAGGCAACCTAATATAAAAATACTTTAACACAATTTTTGAACAAATTATTTAAATTACAGCATGAAATATTTCTTATTATTTTCTTGTAATTATCAGAGAAATGTTCATAACTCCAATCTTAAGAATTTCGGATAAACCTGATGTTTTGATATTTTGTTTATTTTTGATTTAAGTCCTTTTTTTATGTCGTGTAGTTGCTTTTGAGCTGTAGAAATGACATTATTAGTTGAGGGATCTAACAAATCTTCCATTGCTCTAGCAAATATCAGAGACACAGTAAGTGAATCTATCCACTTCTTTTCTATTTTTAAAATGGAAGTAGTTATTTCAGGAAAAGTAGAAATGACATCTCCAAAAACAGCTGTGCTCTCCAATATTAAGAAAAACGCTATGAGACCCATAAACATATTGATTTTTTCTCTTTATTTCTTTTATATATAAATATAAAAGACATATAAATTTGACTTACCATTTATTAGTTTTTCAATTGTTGGAGTAGATTCATTGTCAGAAATAATTTGAACTCTATTTATTATTGATATAGATTCTTCAATATTTGATACTATATTTTTTATGTAAATTTTAATCCTTTGCAATTGAAGATAATATTCATCTTCTTCTTGTAAATTTTGAATAATTTCTGAAAATTCTTTTCTACTTTCAAGAAACTCCTCTTTAACTGTAAAATACAAATGTGTATAAGTTGAAATAAAATATTAAAATTAATGATAGTTTTATAGTACGTACAGTTTTCTTTATTTGATAGAAGTTTAAGCATAGCAATTTTTAACGGATTGCTTCTGATTCTTTTTTCTATGATTTTTGTAAATTCCTCGTCTGCATATGCAATTGTTAATACTACTAAAAACCCTTTAATGAATAGTAATTTTCTTTGCATGATGATCAAATAAAATAAACGTTATATTTGATTAAATGTGTATTATAATTATTATAAGATATTCGTAAGATCAATTTCGAATGATGTTCTTTCCTACATTCAAATATATATATATATATATATATGTTAGATGTTTATAATACCAATAGAATAACAATTTAAAGGACGTATTATAAATAACTTTTATTTATTATACTTATACGTTATATAAACGTGAAGTTATAACAAAGATCATATATCTTACTTTTCTATATAAAATAATCTTTTTTATTATATCTTAATAACAGTTATGATTTTTAATAATGGAATAATAATATTTATCAAATTTACTAGTTTATTAAGATTATATATGTTATAATTATTGTTTATGTACCTATATTTTAGCATATTCCACGCAACGTGAAGGGTCTGTAGGATAATATTCTTGGCATTTAGTCATTAACCTTTTTACAGCTTGAATATATTTTCTTTGTTTTTCATCGTTCATTACATGCGCTACGTTTTTCGAAAAGATTTTTTCTCTTCCAGTACGAGCATGAATACCAACCATAGTTACACCAATAGGCCAAGGAGAATTTCCTATCGCCATTTGTAAGTATGCATCGCTAGCCTAAAATTACAAATTTTCTTAATTAAGTCGTTAACAATGCATACATATATCTAAACTATTATCTATTTCATAAATGCAATATACATACCAAAATATAATTACGTTCAAGTAAATGTTTCATAATTTCAGTTAAACTGTCAGTTATATCTTCGGGAAGAGATTTATTTTTTAATTTCCTTAGAAGAGGTTTTAAATATTCTCTTGTTTGAGCATAAGTCGCACTAGCCATTTTACCTTGCGTACTCATTTTTTCTTCAGTCGTTCTACTATTTAATTGATTACCCCATACTTGTACTAAGAATTGGATAAATTGAATGATAACATTTATATCAAAGTCCCTATCGCCTTTGTTTAATTTGTCAGACATTTTTTGTATATCTTCATAAGTGGTACCTTCTTCTGGTACATTGACATCTCCTTTAACATTACGGTCTTGTGATTTAGTAGATGTCAAAATTTCATTTAAATATGCTTGATCTACTTGTTCCATTGCTTCTTGGAAATCATTTCTGAAGCCCTTTTAACAAACAATATCATTTTGTGTTATCATTTTATACATTTTAACAATTACATAGGTTAGTTAATAAAACGTTAGTTAAAAAACAATGTATTACCTTGTTCACTTCTGCTTCAAAAATCTCATGTTTTCTTAATCTTTTAAATGCTTCTTTTTCTGATTCTCCAAATAACAATGTAGGTTCTCCTCGTTCTCTTAATCTTCGTATTACTTCTGGCCTAGGTAACGTTGATTGTTCCAAACTATTATCTTTCACGGATTCTTCTTGTTCTTCACTCACATCAGATTTTACAATATTAATACTATTATCACAAGTCTCATTATTTTCTGTTTTATATTGAGACTCTAGTTCTCCCCTTCTAAAGTATTTCTTATTTTGTTGCTAAATAAATAMAAATAATTATACATAAATAGAAAGCGAGACATTTCAAAAGTAAGAAATAATATATGAAAATAATACTCACTAAAATATTACTTTCTTCTAATTGCTTGCGTTTTTTTAATATTTCAGCTTTTAAAATATTAAGACCACTACCAAGTGACATTTCGAAATTTTTGTCTTTTCTTTACTTTGTTATTAGGTAACCATAATAGAACTGCTCAATTAACAACCATCACGTATTGACACCACTAGACAGCAGCACATATTTTAGTGTAATGATGTCCGCATGCGTATCGATGCGATACACTAGCGCATGCGCACCAACGTGATAAACTAGCGCCTGCGCATCAACGTGATACACTAGCGCCTGCGCATCGACGTGATACACTAGCGCCTGCGCATCAACGTGATACACTAGCGCCTGCGCATTGACGTGATACACTAGCGCCTGCGCATCGACGCGATACACTAGCGCCTGCGTATCGACGTGATACACTAGCGCCTGCGCATCGACGCGATACACTAGCGCCTGCGCATCGACGCGATACACTAGCGCCTGCGTATCGACGTGATACACTAGCGCCTGCGCATGTCAAACTCGAGAGATGTCAGTTTTATTTATGGTGTCTAAGAGTGTACTTGTTATTAATAATAATACATTTTATATTTTCTCGTTGGTAAAATTCGAAAGTGAAAAGTGATGTGAATCTCCAGATAGCCTAAAATACAGATTTCCCAATATATTTTTTTAGTTAAATGATTAAAAATTAATGTGCAACACGTAAATCATTTTTTATATGATAAAAATAAATGTATTTTAACAGTATTATAATATTTGCTTCTTTCTCAAACAAGATTATTATTTTTTACTTTTAAACATATTATTGTCTAGGTTATTTTTTTGTCATAGTAGTTGCATACATTGCAAGTGCACTTTAATGCAAAGGATTACTTTTAGTCATCAATGACTGACAACATTAAATGTATTAAGAATTATTCTAAGGAAAGAAAAAAAAGAAAGGGGTAGAAAGAGCAATAACTGTATGTTATATAAATCACTTTAAATATGCTATTTACATAGAGAGTGGCATTTAATGAGAATTTTTGAAAAACAAAAGATTTATGTAAATGTTTAATAAATGACAAGTTTTTATCGGTTGGATTTAGCAACACGTTCTAGTTCATCTTTCTTTTTGATCGCATATGAATTCGATGATCCTTTCGCAGCATTGATAAGTTCATCGGCTAAACATTCAGCGATTGTTTTTATATTACGGAATGCTGCTTCTCGTGCACCAGTGCATAATAACCAAATAGCTTGGTTAACACGACGTAATGGGGAAACATCTACTGCTTGTCTTCTAACTGTACCTGCACGACCAATACGGGTAGAGTCTTCTCTTGGTCCTGAATTAATAATCGCTGTCACAAGAACCTATAGAAGATCATAAATATCATAAGAATCATACTAATATATGAACAAGTAACTACTATGACAAAAAAATTACCTGCAAAGGATTATCACCCGTAAGAAGGTGAATAATTTCAAAGGCATGTTTGACTATTCTGACAGCCATTAATTTTTTCCCATTATTTCTTCCGTGCATCATTAATGAATTTGTCAAGCGTTCTACGATAGGACACTGAGCTTTTCGAAAWCGTTTAGCAGCATAACGGCCAGCRGAGTGTGGTAGATATTTAGCATTCTTCTCTTTTACAGCAATATAATCTTGCAAAGACATATCATTGACTTGCACATCATCGCAATTCCACCGACCAAACAGTTTGATTTCTGGTAACTCGGCAGAAAGTGCGGCAGGTATAGTGGAGGTAGTAGTTACCACAACATCATCAAAAGATTCTATATCCGGCATTGTGATTCTAAAAGAAAATAAGATTATCAATAATACAAATTAAATGCAATAAACTAAACAATGCAAATTAGTAGCAATATAAATAATTCTTAAGAGAATTTTGTAAGAGCCAAGGAAAAAAACATGTTACCACGTGGACTAGATCAGTGTTAGAACATTTAACGAATGATATAAAATAATATTTACAAAACATAGAGATACTTAAAACAGCACATAAAATACTGATCGAGATGTAGATAGGAGGACAATATTATTTGGAGATCTTAAGGAAATAGACTACAAAGACCGCGAATGAAGGAGTTACACTTAGGGATGGAACACTGGCGAAATTTAGTATTTGTGGCAATAAATTTTCGAGTTCTTAATGCCAATTAATAATAATAATAGATAGTTAAAATTTTCAAATATTTTAAACCTTTCACACATTCATCGATGAATAAAAAAGTTACAATATCCAATATCTAACCTTAAAACTTACACTCACGTTTACGCTGAACGATAAGCCTACATAAAATAACCATGAAACACTAACGCTTGAGATTGTGACGATCGCCACATTTTGACTGCTATCTAGTCAAAACATTTTCTATAAATACAACATATAAAATAATAATATTTATTACATTATAAATTTATGTCGATTAAATTAAAATATTTGTCAATAAAGATTATAATTATATAAAAAAGAAAAATAATTTTA